AAGGGCATTCCTTCCAAAATACAACAAAAAGAGAATGCCTAGAAAAGAAATTATCCTGATGTGGAAGTGGAGCCGTGGAGGCATTTGAATCACCGTTTTTCCATTTTAGTGACAAAATCTACCGAAAACAAATCTCTCCCTCTCTCACAGAAAAAAGGGGGAAAAGAAGTTGTGGAAAGCAATAAATTAGTTGCTTTTATTTGATTGATAATACGATATAAAAAAAGGTTTTTTTAGTCTTTGATGTGTGTATTCTAAAACCCAACTCTCCCAAAGCTCTTGGGTTTTTGGCGGCTACCCCTTCTCCACGCCTTTCTTTTTTCCTCTTCCTTAACTTTCTCACTGTTTCAACTCTAGGGTTTTGTTTTCACTCCTTCCTCCTCCTCCTCCTTTTCCCTCTGTCTCTATCTCTTACTTAGTTTCTCTCTCTAAATCAATACCCTTGATCTTTGATCATGGCCACCTCTGATCGTATCCTTGCTAACTTTAATCCTCTGGGTATGCTTTGTTATTGTAGATTCGTGGATGGATATTTTTATTTTCTTTTTTTGTTGGTTTTTAGTATTAACTTTTGGTTCTTTAAGGATTTGCTTGTTTGTTTTCAGGTCTTAACTGATTGTTATTTGTTTTTTTAATAAACTTTATTGGGTAATAGATTTTTTATATGGGTTTTAGCGGGGTTTATTCAAAAGTTGTTTTTTTTTAAAAAAATATATACTAAATTTCAGTTTTATGGATTCGGATTTGTTGGTTTTGGTAGTTTATGAATTTGAATCTGTTTTATCTTTGGATCTTTGCTTTTGAATTTTTTGTGTGACTTTTTAGATGGGTTTTAGCAGGGTTTACTGGAAAGTTTTTTTTTTAATCAGTTTATGCTTAATTCTATTCTCTTGGTTCAAATGTTTCATCTTTTTATAGATTTGAGTATGATGGTTTGGGTAGCTTATGAATTTAAATGTGTTTTTATCTTTGGATCTTTGTTTGTTGCAATTTGTGAACAGCGATAAATTTGTGGGTGGATGGTCTATACTATGTGTAATATTGATTGCTTGAAGCTATGGTTTTGTTGTTGGTTTAAGTGGTATGCTTTGGATATATCTGAACCTTTGTAGTGTTTAATTTTAAAATTCTTGGTTTTGTTTTGTATCCTTTACCACAATCACAGAAGTTGCAGATTCACTGGAAAACTTGTCTCTGGATTCACAGGCTAAGACCACCAAGGTTCCTGAGCCTGTCAAGAAGGTACTGCTTGGATTGCAAGATGCTGAGTTCTTATTCTTGTGGTTGATAAATATTTTACTTTTATTCGTTAGATTAGTTGGTTGACAATTTTATTAGGTTCTGTGCAACTTGAGCCGTGGGATTCAAGTGGGCTGCTTGGTTACTTGTATAAACTGAATTGTTGTCAACAGCCCCCTTTGTGATGACAATAATGCAAAATCTTTGAGGGAGAAATGGGTGTTTGTTATGGTGATTACCACTGTTGCCTGTTGATTTAGGCAGAAGGCTAATTCTTTCTTGAAGTTGTTCTGAAACCAGTCATTGGCAATATGCTTTTTGTATAATGGTCTGAAAAATAGTGTCCATTTGGAGTTTATATAGTGGTCTTGCTAACATTTTTGTTTTGATGAATTTTGGATTTGTAATTTGTGGTCTTGCTGATATTTTCTTTCTATAGAGTTTGGTATTTGGAAGATAGAAATGGGTTTAATTTTTATCCTGTTAATTTGCTTTGGAAATCTTTTCAGTCTGAGTATTGTATTTAATAAGCTTAATGTCCATTGACAGGATTTCTATGGTGATAATGGCTCTTACATGTACCAGCAAACTTATGGTTATATGCCATATGGAGCGTATTCTGTGCCCAGTTCACCTCTTCCTGCTATGGGACATGATGGTCAGCTGCATACGCTGCAAGAATACCATTATCCAAGTCCTTATTACCAACCACCTATGCAGACTAGTCAAGCCAGTGCATCTCAAGTGGAGGTTTCGACTTCTGGTGTAGCTGAACAAGCTTCCTTATCAATTGATACAACTAAGGGAAATTCAAGCGCTATAGCAAGTGGTGGAGGTTTGAGCAGTAATAATGGGTCAGGGTCATTAAAACCAACTTTCAAAAGCTCTTCCCTAAATCCCAATGCGTCTTACAAAAGAGGAGGCTTGCCAACAGGTAATCTGTCCCTAGGTTATCAGGATCCAAGATTTAGCTATGACGGGATTCAGTCAACAGTTCCTTGGTTAGATATGTCGATGTCTTCTAATGGGCAATCCAAGCATGCTGCAAATAGTGGGTTCTCTTCATATACGAACAACCTTTCATCTGGCAGGAATCAGAATGTTCACCCATTCCCTCATGTCATGGTATGTTGAAACTGCTTGTTACTTAGATTTGAATCTCTGTGTTATAGATATCTAAACTCTAACCCATACACATGCACAAACACAGATACAAAGTCGCAAAGTAGATTGATAGATAGGTAGGTAGATAGATATAGGATTTGCTTGTTCTTTCTTTGTTGTCGATTGACCTAATTGTTCTTAATGATCTGAACACAGAATTTGCATAATGCAAGACCATCATCAGGCGTAGCCCAAGCATATGGATACATGAACCACATGTACCAGAACAACATGGCTTACAGTCATTATGGAAACACCATCAGGGGTGGTTCTGGTTATGGATCATATGGCTATGATTCCTGGAAGAAAGGACTAGGGTGGTACACTGTTGGTAGCAACAACAAATCTAGGGGTCGTGGTTATGGCAAAGAGAATATGGATGGTTTAAGTGAGCTGAACAAAGGGCCTAGAGTAAAGGGGTATAAGAATCAGGATGGTTTTGAATCTGCAACACTAGCTGTCAAAGATCAGAACCTTCCACTGGCTGAGAGCGACAAGGAGAACAATGTTACTCTTGTTCCAGATATGGAGCAGTACAATAAAGAAGATTTTCCTGAGAGTTATTCAGATGCAAAGTTTTTTGTCATTAAATCCTATAGTGAGGATGATGTCCACAAAAGTATTAAATACAATGTGTGGGCCAGTACATCTAATGGCAACAAGAAACTAGATGCAGCATTCTGTGAGGCCAAAGATAAGCCTGATGGCTGCCCTGTATTTCTATTGTTCTCTGTGAGTATGAGTAACGTTACTCTCTGCTGTGTTGATTTAGTGAGTATATGATATGCATGGTTTTTACCGAGCCTGCGCCTTTTCCAGGTTAATACCAGTGGACAATTTGTTGGTTTAGCTGAGATGGTGGGCCCAGTTGATTTTAACAAAACTGTGGAATACTGGCAACAAGACAAGTGGACTGGTTGCTTCCCTGTGAAGTGGCGCATCGTTAAGGATGTGCCAAACACTTCATTGAGGCACATAACACTTGAGAACAATGAGAACAAGCCCGTTACTAATAGTAGGGACACCCAGGAGGTACTCTCTCTCTCTCTCTCTCTCTCTCTCTCTCTTTGTGTATTTGTGTCGGTGTGTGTTTTATTTCTTGTTTTTGTAATTTTCATTCTTCCCATTGTAAATGGTTGGTGGCTGCTGCAGGTTAATTTTGAGCAGGGGATTCAGATTCTCAAAATCTTTAAGGACCATTCCAGTAAGACATGCATTCTTGATGATTTTGAATTTTATGAGGCTCGTCAAAAGATAATCCAGGAGAAAAAGGCCCAGCATCAGCTGTTACAAAAACAGGTATATCAGGCTTTTAATTAAATGTGCCTGTTTTTCTTACTTCCTATTATATAGAACCTGGTATATGGCTTGCATAAACTGTTTAAATATTAACTACTTCAAATTCTTCCTAAACAGGTTTCAAATGGGCAGCCTAATGATGATGTTGTAACTGATAACCAACAAAATTCGGCAGTAGCAAAGGAGACTGCAGATAATAAATCTGTAGAGGCAGCCTTGATTGAAGAACAACCGGTTGCATCCGCAGCGGAGGTAGTAAAGTCGAATGGAGATGTGAAACCCGTAGAAGAGAATGGATCTGTTGCTCCAACTGAAGATGGTCCTGCCAATTCAGTTTGCGTTGCAAGTGCTTGCTAATGGGCTTCCTTCTTAGATTTTTAGAATAGGATTTGTGCTTTTGATTGGGTTATTAACAAGTTTAGCTAATTCATATCTGCCTATTTTGCTCTTTTTATTAGCTGGGACTTGGTTAAAGCTTAATTCCTGAGGAAGTAAGAATAGGCAAACACCTTTCAGCATTTCCTTATAGCAGCATGGTGAGACAGAATGTTGACACTGCTCAATACCCTCTTTTGAGTTTTTTCTTCTTTTGCCATTTTCATCCCTTGTTATCCCTTTTGTTTTTTTCTTAATGAGAACAGAGTTGAGGAAGAAGAAAAAGAAAATTGCCCAAGGGGGAATGTAGTTTAATCCTATTTGCATCTTGCATTTGATGAAGACATGGTTGTTTCTATATATGGAAAGTAAAAGAGAAGATATTGTGCTGTTCTTGTTCTCAAATCTTTCTATTATGGGAACAATGTGTAAAAAATGTGAAATTTAATCTGTTGTAAATACTATTTTAACCATTAAAAAATGAATTAAATTAACTCCTAAAATATTAAAATTTTACCAAATAAATGTGGTTCTAAAATGGTCTAATTTTTCTTTTATTTGTTGGCCTGAATTTTTGGTTTTAATTAAAAAGTAAATAAATTTGTTGGTAATGTTAATTCCTCAAATTTATCAAATTCTAATATCAAACAAAATTTTTTTTATCAAATCCTAATAAATTTTTTTATTGGTGTCTAATAATAAGAGCAAATCTTTATAAAAATATCTGAATTATTTAGGATTTTAAATAGTATTTATTTTTTAAAATAAAAAAGTACTTATTTCTTAGTTATTAATTGCAAGAAATTACATGATAAAAGCATTTTCAGAAAATAAAAGAAAAAGCTTATTAAAGGCAAATTCTCTCTCTCACGTGCATCGCGCATGCGGGGGTAAGTTCATTTCTAGGGCTTTCTGGGACTTACACCTCCACTCTCTGCTCTTCCCTCTTCTCTAAAACCCAAAAAGTTTCAATTTTTTTCCCCATTTCTCTATTTCTAGGGTTAGGGTTTTACACTTTCTTGCTCTCCTTCGAGTAAGGTTTCTGTAGAAAGGAAGGAGAAGAAGAGAAAAAATGGGGTTCTCGATGCAGCCATATGGGATACAATCGATGCTGAAGGAAGGTCACAAGCATCTCTCCGGCCTCGACGAAGCTGTTCTCAAAAACATCGACGCTTGCAAGCAACTCTCCACCATCACCCGCACTTCGCTCGGGCCCGACGGTATTCATTTCTCTCTCTTCGCTTTTCTTTTTCTTTTTTTGTGATTCGAAATCTGCTGTTTTTTTTTTCTTACTCTGTTTCTGCTTGAAATTCGGATCAACTGTTCTTTCCCAATTCTGCATTTACTTGAATTCTTGTTCTGCTTTAATGTTTGATCTACTGTTCCTTAGGTATGAATAAGATGGTTATTAATCATTTAGACAAGCTCTTTGTCACGAATGATGCTGCTACTATTGTCAATGAGCTTGAGGTTCAGCATCCTGCTGCAAAGATATTAGTTCTAGCGGGTAAGGCTCAGCAAGAGGAAATTGGTGATGGGGCTAATTTGACGATTTCTTTTGCCGGGGAGCTGCTCCAAAACGCAGAGGAGCTTATTAGGACTGGCTTGCACCCTAGTGAGATCATTAGTGGATATACAAAAGCAATTAACAAGGTTTCCCCTATGCTCTGCCAAGTAACTTAAATGACTAAGTGTTGTTCAACATGGATGATGAAGTGGGCTAATTTATCGTTCTGTTTTATTTTTTTTTAATGTTTTTACAGACAGTTGAGGTTTTGTCAGAACTGGTGGAGAAAGGTTCTGAAAATATGGATGTTAGGAATAAAGAGCAAGTTGTTACTCGAATGAAAGCTGCTGTTGCTAGCAAACAGCATGGACAGGAAGATATTTTGTGTTCCCTTATAGCTGATGTAATTTGCAAATCATTCCCCTTGTGTATCGCTAATTAATTATTCCATTTACTGTTCCCATAAAGGATGTCATGACATTTTTTTCTTTGTTTCTTGTGCATCATAGGCATGTATCCAAGTCTGCCCCAAGAATCCTGCGAATTTTGATGTTGATAATGTCCGTGTGTCAAAGCTTGTTGGAGGAGGTTTGCATAATTGTACAATTGTTCGGGGGATGGTTTTAAAAGGTGATGCTGTGGGAAGTATAAAACGAATGGAGAAGGCTAAGGTACACATTTATTTTTCTCTATCCTTCCTTTTCTCATTGATTAAGTTTTACAAGAGTTTTTCTCTCATTGCTTTCTGACTAGTGCCTTTCTGCTCACTTCATATTAGGTGACTGTGTTTGCCAGTGGTATTGATACATCTGCTACTGAAACAAAAGGAACTGTATTGATTCACTCTGCTGAGCAGGTATTATGAGAATTTCTCAACTTGTTTTTATTTTTTAATCTGAGCTTTTCAGGCATAATATACAACACTTGTCTTTTAGGTATGTATACGTTTCAATTTGTGCCCATTATGGTGATTATATATCTATTATGATTGTCTATGTTGATCAGAAAATTGGTTTTTCAAATATGTTTAAGTGTGGAAGGTTTTCTCTTGGTGTATCCTTGCAGCTAGAGAATTATGCAAAAACTGAAGAAGCTAAGGTTGAGGAGCTCATCAAAGCAGTTGCTGATTCTGGTGCCAAAGTTATTGTCAGTGGAGGAGCAGTCGGTGAAATGGCATTGCATTTCTGTGAACGTTACAAGTATATTTTGTTTCCATTTTGTAGTTCTAATTGTGCTTTTTGTTCTTTCTTCTCTTGATTAAGTTTCCGTATTGCTATGATGTTGAATATAAAGTGTTAACAGATTGGCCAATTTTCAGAGCCACAAATATTTTGCTTTGGAGCTTTTGCAGTCTTTTTAAACATTTTTACTTGGGGATCTTTTTCTTGTAGGTTAATGGTCTTGAAAATCAGCTCAAAGTTTGAACTGCGACGCTTTTGCCGCACAACAGGCACTGCTGCTCTCGTGAGCATTCTATCTAGATTATGTTAAAAGAAAAATGATTATACCTTTTGCTTTCTAATCTAACGGGTTTTTCATTCTTCCGATAGTTGAAACTCAGCCAACCAAAGCCAGATGATTTGGGATTTGTTGATTCAGTTTCAGTTGAGGAAATCGGTGGTTCTCGGGTATGTTTGAAGGGGTTGCTTTAGTCATATTTGGGTCCTTATCTTTTGCTTGATTCATTTTGCCTTGCCAATTGAATGTAGGTCACTGTTGTGAGAAGTGAAGAAGGTGGTAACAGAGTTGCCACTGTGGTTCTGCGAGGAAGTACTGATAGTATATTGGATGATCTTGAAAGAGCTGTTGATGATGGAGTGAATACATATAAGGTTATCTTTGCTGAATTTTTTCATTTTCCCTACTCATTCTTCCAGGTGTTTGTAGTGTTTCTCCTGTATAAATCTTTATGAGTTTTGTTTTTCTCACCTGCTGAAAAAGTATTTTCTGTTCCTTTTTTTATGTAAATTTCAAGGGAAGTATCATTATAATATTAATGCCCATGTTTTTTGGTCAGGCAATGTGCAGGGACAGTCGTATAGTACCTGGAGCTGCAGCTACTGAGATTGAATTGGCTAGAAGATTGAAGGACTTTTCCTTTAAGGAAACAGGGTGATCTATTTGTTTTCCTTTGCTTTTACTTGCTTATTGCAAAGTTTCATTCTGCATGTAACTTTTCATCTTTAACTTGCATGATTATGTGTTACACTTGCATGAATGGCATATGAGAATGTTTGTGCCTTGATGACAGTCTACCTGCCTAACTACTATTTCTTTTGGACATAGTAACACTTTTTAATCTTATACATGGGCTGTGCTGGATGTCTCAATTGAAGCAACTTTTGCATTGTTGACCGTCAAGTTTATTTTACATTACTTCTTTATATCTTGGATTTGTCATGTATATTTGATCTCTTAGTTAGGAATCTGCTATAGATTTGGTTTTTATAGTAGATTTAGATAAGTACTAGAAGAGACTATTAATATTAACATGGAATATTTTGCAGTTTGGATCAGTATGCCATTGCTAAATTCGCTGAAAGCTTTGAAATGGTACCAAGAACTTTGGCAGAGAATGCTGGACTCAATCCAATGGATGTTATATCTAAGCTGTATGAAAAACATGCATCTGGAAATACCAAAGTGGGCATCGACTTGGGAGGAGGTGACTCTGAGGATGGTGTTTGCAATGATGTCTCAACCATGAACATTTGGGATGTTTATGTCACTAAGTAAGTTGCTATTTACAACTTCTGAAAGTTAGCCTTAAGGCTTGTGATTCTATTGTTCTTACTTGTGTGGAAAATTAACATTTCATACCTCAACCATAAATGTGTCAACAAAAGTACAATCATTGACTTCCTTTTCTTGTGTGTGTGTTTTCCCTTTTGGCAGGTTTTTCGCTCTCAAATATGCTACAGATGCTGCCTGCACCGTGCTACGGGTAGATCAGGTAATCAGCTTGAAACAGAAAGCTTGAAAATAGAAAGAACACTGTATTTACTCCTTAGCGCCACATTCATGTACCGTTTTGAAAAATTTCCTTCACCAAGCTGACCATGCCATTCATTCAATGTTGTAGATTATCATGGCAAAACCAGCTGGAGGTCCAAGGAGAGATCAGCCTGCGGGAATGGATGAGGACTAAGTCTTTGTGCAGCATGATTGATTATCTTTCTTTTGTGTTTCTTACCGGGCTGGTTTTCAAACTTTGTTTAGGCATCTTTTGTTTTCTTCTGAGATGCTGAAAACACTTTAGCTGAAAGAAAAATTTTGCTTGTGCTTGAGAAATTTATGTTGGGTGGTGGTGGTGGTGATGTTCTGTGATTTTAGTGTATCAGTTCTGTAATTTTCCAACAGTTAACTCCATGAATGTTGCTACCCTTGGCAATTGGCATTTTCTGATATTAAACATTAATTTTTCCCTTCCTTTTTCTTTTTACAAGAATATTTCAATGTTTCATATTCCACCCTTTAATAGGTATATAAATTTTTTTATTTCGAAATAAAAATCATACATTTTGTTGAACATTTTTTATGCAAAAATAAATCAAATAATTTTTTTTTATATAAATGATAGTTTTACTAGTAAATATAAAAAATATTGTTGGATAAAAATAATTGGTTGAATTCTTCAGAGTCCTCGAATAAAAAGGTTTAGATAGGAGGAAAGTGCAAATATGTGAAAACTGCTCAAAGCCAAAAAGCATATCCAAACAAAACAGTTAGCTAAAGGATGAGACTAGCAGCTTAGTCCACTGCTGTGTGGAAGCTAACAGAGTTCTTCCTTGGAACAATGGCTTCTCTTCTTTCTTTCTCTCTTCCAAAACCAAACATAATCAAAGCTTCTTCGGCCTTTCCTGCTACAACTACCCTTTCCATTCCTGAGGCTCTTTATGAAAAATTTGGTCGTAAAGGCATCAAATTCTCGGAGTCCGATAACATTCCATTCGTCGAGCTGACAGTAAGAAATGGGAGCTCATTGAGACTGAGAATACCCGATGCTCATGTCACTTCATACAAGCCTAGGGTATATTGGAAAGATAATGGCCTCGAGGAGATCCTGCATACTGTTCCTGCAGGTGGAGCAGACTCTACCAAGGCCAAAGGAGGGATTGGTTTGGTTATCAATGATGCATCAGGTAAAAGTTCAAAAGGGTCGCTTCTGTCTGGGGCGGAGTGGACTGTAAAGGATGCTGATAATGATGCCATTGATGCTCTGCAGGTTTTTTCTTAGTTGCATACACTTGTCCTAGTTCATGTAGTTTAAAATTCTGCTGTTCAAAGTATTACCCTCGGATTATAAGTTCCTCTCTCGTCAAGGCCACACATGGACACAGTTGAAAGCCATTTTCGGGTTGCTTCAGATTGAATTCTGCATAATAGAGCAAAAAGTTCAGGATAGGCTATTTGATCAGCATATGCCGTACGGATAAAGATAATTATGGGGTTTCCTGATCTAGAATTGTCTTTTCCCCTTTCTGCAGCTTGTCTAGAAGATTTTTTCATATGATGGGGCAAAATGAAATGAATTCTTATAAACCCACTCTTTTGATTAATCTGTTGATGAATTTCTGTAAAGCAATATGATAGGTAGTTAAAACTTGTTAGCTAGGAGACTTTCCATACACTATGAAACTCTGCTGCTTTTGCTGGTGGAAATAAGAACAGAAAGACCAATAAATTCTGTAGCCGCAGGCCTTCTACATATCTTTGATTCACTGTTTTCAGTGATGAGTAATATCTTTCTATGACTATGTCCATGAATTCGTGAAAGAAAATTTATCTTCTTGGATTTGATGCTTTCTTTCAGGTTGAGTTGAGCTGTACCGCTGGAACTCTAGATATAAGTTATGTTGTCTCCCTCTATCCACTAAGCATAGCAACAGCAGTCATAGTAAAGAACAATGGCCGCAAAGATGTGACTTTAACTAGTGCCATACTTAGCCATCTGAACTTCAAAAAGAGAGGACGCACAGCAATCAATGGACTCAAAGGCTGCTCTTACTGCTCACATCCGCCTTTATCTTCGCCTTTCGAACTCTTATCTCCCTCTGAAGCAATGAAATCTGAATCTTCTGGATGGTTTGGTTCAGAGAATGAAGAGAAACCAGGTGTGTGGACAACACAAGATGTGCCAATCACCATCTTGAAGAATAAGCTCAGTAGAGTATATGCTGCTCCTCCATCAGAGAGACTAAAGGCAATTTATAACACCCCACCATCAAAATATGAAACCCTTGATCAGGTAAAACTGAACTTTTTTTATGTCCATTACTTGGAACTTTCAGTGTCTGCTTGAAGTATGAACTGAAGTTTCCCCTATTTTTTGTTGCTTCCTTTTTCCAGGACAGAGAACTCTTCTTCAGGGTAATACGAATGGGGTTTGAAGATATATACTTGTCCAGCCCTGGTTCCTTGTCAGAAAAGTATGGGAAGGATTACTTTATCTGCACAGGTCCGGCTTCAATGCTGGTGCCTGTGGTAGTGAAACCTGGAGAAAATTGGAGAGGAGCACAAGTCATTGAGCATGACAACCTGTAATTATATATTCCATTAACAGGAAAAATTTTCGTTTTTGTTTTCTTTTTTCCCTAGAGAAAAATTAGTTTTGCAAATCATTAGTGTCGTCTATTATGTAATTTCAATTCATCAACTCATTGAGTTCGATTTATGCTCACTATACTAAAATAGAAGGTTTACAAGTCGATGTCAACATTTGTAATGAAATTACTACAAGTTTGTGTAAGTAAAAGATAATCTTGAGCTTATAAATATGAATGTTGCGTATCTTATAAAGTTAACTTTTTCAACAAAAAATAATAATTTTAGAACAAAGTGATATTAAAATCAACTTCGACTCGATTTCGATGTTACACAAAGCTTTCCAACAAATAAGTGTAGATAAAGTTGCTTGATGTGACGAAATCTCATATCGAATAAATAAGAGAAAGATTTTAAAATTATAAATATTGATGTTGCACACTTTATCAAATTAACTATTTAAGTAGAGATAAACCTTATGAAAAGTATGTAATGATCCGGTACACTTGCACCTAGCTGCTTAAGACTCCAGGTGCTATAAAATCGATGAAACCATTAGATTTAGAAGGAACCAAAAAGGACTCCAACTAGCATATTTTGCTTCTAGTCAACTTTTTCAAGTTTGTAACACATTAACACTAAAAGAAACAGTATACGAAATGTTTGAATTTGAATTTTGGCAGGAGTGGGGCACACTGAGAGAGCTGAGAACCAAGAAAAAACGGAAATCAAGCTAAAAATGCTAAGCCCATTTCTACCATCTGAAAAGGATAAGGTTGATTGCTTGACAGAGGACTTGGTAATAGTAAGATAAGCTGGTACTGACCCAAAGAAAAAGGTAAACAGAAATATCTTTCAAGACTTCAATCAGAACCAACCAAAGATACCAGTTGAATTATCCTGATGGAAAGCAAAGGATAAGGGACCAACCTGATCTTTCTGTCTGGTTCCAAAAGACACTGCAAATGGACCTCCTAAGCAGGCTAGCTAGCTGCAACTAACATATCAAAGAGATAAGGAAAGAGTCTTATTACAGTAAGGAACTATTACTATGGCTTGCAGTTCACTTTTCTCACCCAACTTCACCGCTTTTTCCTCTCCAACACCAACTAGCCATCATTTATGTTATCACCCTCACCTTCCCTCTACATCTCTTCAACGCAGCAATAACAGGAGAGAATTTCCACTTGCATCTGTGGCTTCGATTCCTTACCAACCAATCAATGTGGACTACCTAGAAGGGGAATTCAGTGGCCATGGGGTCACCTTCGAAGGTATTGGTGATAGTTGTGTTGCGAAGATGGGGTTGGATAATGGCAGCCAAGCTACTCTAATGCTTCCAAGTGGCTTGATCACTTCTTACAAGGCTCCAATGTGGCATGGGGGCACAGTTGAGCTACTGCACACATCGGTTTCTGAGGGAGATGAGGGTGAGGCTGTGATACAAGGAGGGGTGTCTTTAGCCATCAACTGTGAAAGTGATAATGAAGTTTCATGGTCTCCAAGTACTTGGGCTCTTCGTGATATCAGAGGCAATTCGAAGAACTCTATTAAGGTCAGTTCAGTAGTAATTTGGTTAAGCATATGATATTGCCGATGCAGATATGATGCTTTCACATGGGCGGTGTGCCTAAAATAGTTGAGAAAGACATTGAAAGATTTGTTGTAGTCAAGGTAGTTTCTAATGAGTCTTGATTTCACTGTGAACTTGATAAATGCAGGTTGAGCTGATAAGTAGAGAAAATATGGTTGAAACAAGACATATTGTGACTCTCCAAGAAGATGTCCTAAGCTCAGAGATTAGAGTCTCGAACTCAAAATCATCACCACTACGATGGACAGGATCTATTATAAGCCATCTAACAGTTAGCAGTCCGGATGCAACATATGCACTTGGATTAGAAGGCTCAAATTTTCTCAAAATGCCACCCTTTTTGTCAAATTTTGGTATAATTCCTCCAGATTTTGACCTGGAAAATGATTCTTATATTGGCCAGCTATGGAGTCAAATGGAACTGAAAATGTTTTTCAGTGGATTGGGACAAAGAAATCACAAGAATGCTAGTGAAGCAGACAAAAAGCAGAGAGAAAGTGAAGAAATGGAGGGTGAAGAGGAGGGGTATAAGCAGTTAAATGCGCAAATGAGCAGGATTTACACCAGTGCACCTAGATTCTTCACACTCATCGACAGGGTACTTTTCTTGCAAAATTCAAATGTGCTCCATTTTAACATTAGTTTTAGACTTTAAACAAATTACTTACTCTTAAATCCCACTCATCAGAAGTCATAATTGATTGTGTTTCAATGAGACTGATTTCTTATCTTTGCTTCTATGGAGCAGGGTAGAAGAAACTCAGTTGAGGTCGGAAGAGAAGGATTTGATGAATTGTATATGTTCAGCCCTGGTTCAAGCCATGAAATCTATGGCGAGTATGCTTATATATGTGTAGGTCAGTCAGCCACACTTAAACCCATAATCTTAGGTCCAGGAGAAGTGTGGCGAGGTTGCCAGCATTTACACAACCCAAACATGTAAACCATCATTAAGCATGCTTTTAAATTCATCAAGTAAATTTGCATGCTTGTGAGTTGTGAATGAAAGGAATCACTGTTGGGTGTTGACTGCAATAATCAACATTAACACTTTCTCATTGCTCAAACTTTTCTTAAAAAATGAAGAACATTAAATTTGAAGCATCACATCACTGTTTTCCAGAATGAAGATACAAAGAAAGCAATGTTTTACATTTTTTGATCATGTAATGGAAAAAACAGTAGCTCTAATTTCCCTTTGGGAAACATAAATAGGATGTATTTTCAACAGAGAATGCAACATCAGACCATAATATTACTAAGATATATGGAAAACCATCAGCGGTTGCTAATGTCAATCATTCAGACGATGGTAAGACACTCTTCAACACCCAGAATATGGATTAGGTCTTGATGACAAGCACATTATTAACAGGAGAGACTACAAAAGCAATGAATAAATATAGGAAAACCAAAGCTTACGAGAAGCAGAAATGCTTTACTCCTGGTAAATTCATTAAACAGAGAACTAATGACTGTTCATTAAAAGCAGTAACAAATATTGTTACAGAAGGACATTGTAATGACCTATTTCCAACATTCTTCCCACTAACCTTACTCCTAATTCACTAGGATTGAAAGAGTTTGATACAACAGAGTGAGTGAGTCAAGTTGGAACTACAAGGAAGCCTTCATCCTGAACTTCAGTCCACAGAAATGAAGTGAGAACAGCAAGTACAATGAAAAAGAGGCCAAAAAGCATTTTAAAAACTGTCTTCCTACGAGCTTTCTCATTGTGAAACTCCTGAGTTTCAGTTTTAATCTTGGGAACTGCCTCGCAAGACGCTTGGACATCAATGTCAGCAGGACTATCATCAGTTGATGACACAGATTCAGAGACACCTTGGAATTCATCACCATCAGTATACAAATGTCCATTCCCTTTGACCTCATAGATCATACCATGGCGAAAACCATTGGGATTTGCCATTGGGCTCCATCCAAATTTCTCTGAGGATGGACTTCTGAACCTTCTGGCTTGTTTCTCAGAGTAATCTGAGTTCAAATCATTGGGATCTTGAAGAGAGCGGATGAGCTTTCTTGGAGTTGTAAAGAGATTGTCTACATTAATCCGAGAACGTGACCTCTGAAGTGCAAACATAACAGGCAAAATGCAGTTTTATAAAGTGATAATATCAACAGATCCAAAAATAAACAAACAGAAAAATAAATAAAATTAAGAGGACCAAATTCAAATAGACAATTTTGAGCATCTTACCTGAGGACTGGGAGTGGCACTTCTTGGTAGCCCATTTCTAGGACTTCTCTGCAAGAATCCTGCAAATTCTTCTGTGTACTCTGATCCATGATTGGTTAGTTCATGATGATCTGAGGGTGAATCACATATGGAACTTCCCCGAGCCACTGCAGAGAACAAACCATCCTTGAGAGATACATCGACACCCCCATTTTCATACCTCCAAAGCTTCCGATTCACACTCCTTTGATCATATTCCATGTTGCGAGATATCTGAGTCATTGAAACTGGTGACTCAATTAAAGAATCAGATTCCATAAAGGAATCAAGCGTCTGTGATTCAGGTGAAGCAGTTGCAGGAGATCTATCACCTTTAGTGACTAAGTTCCTTCTACGGCTGTTGTCTTTTCTACCATAGTTTGACCCAGTAACTGAACCGCAACTATTCTCCAATTTTGACCCTTCCTCTTGAGCTATTTTTTTTGCAGTTTGCAAAGCTTCATAAGCAGCCCCCTTAACATAAGCCATCTGATCAGATTGACACTTCTCCATCTCTTCCATAATCAACTCCACCTCCGAGAACATGCTCCTAGGATCCAACCACTTCATCAAGAAATTAATCATTTGTATTGCTGAAAATCGTTTCTGAGAATTACCTTCTGCAAGCCCAGCATTTGATATTCTCAAACCAGATTTTATTAACAATCTCGCATATGCTTCGACAATGAGAGCATTTTGCTTTGCTAAAGCCATAACCAGGCCCATATGTGCATTGGTCTGAGTGGACTTCTCCTCCAAAGCTGCAGCCACATTCTGACAAACCTTGTTCACCATCTCATCAGAAGCAAACCGCCAGTTATCCGATTCCACAAGGGCCTTCAAACAAAGTGCCGCCCCTGAACTCAAGCTTTCTTGGGAACCCAAAAGAGATTCTGTAAGAGGCTTACAAAGTGAGTGAATTATAAACCTCTTCTTATCTTCTGGGGTGGTTGGATCAATCCCGTATCTTGCAATTGCAGGTACCACCTTTGAACATGCCTGTTGAAGAGGGAAGGACCCGGCACTTGAAGCTAATGTCTTGATAATAGTCAACATGATGCTATCAATCTGAGGAACAATCTTCACACCATGGACACGAGCAAGAACCTCGTAGAGTGAAATTGTGTATTCACCAGACACAGAGCCGGTCTCTTTGGTCTCAGAAACTTGAGCAAGAAAGACAGGTATTGCCTTGGAATCCAAGTCTCTCACATATGATTTCAGTGCTTTCATTGCTGATTTTCGACTATCAGCATCTTTGTCAAGGTTGGCTAATTCTCGCCGTAGTATTGGGCTAAGATTTCTACCCATCATTTACCTGTAACCACAGAACAAGGCAAGCCATTTTGATAAAAGCAGAAAGAAGAAGAAGAAGAAGAGAGGTGTAGCCCAAGAATTGAGTTGAAAGGATTACATGTAAACAGATAAAAAGGTTTGTTATTTGAAAGCAGCTATCTTAACACCCTGATTTAATGCTAAGAAAACTGAGAAAAAGACAACACAACCAGAAATTACACTCTCATTTCTTAGAATTGAATCAACCAAAATATTTAATATCCAGTTGAAATAAACCAGTTTATATAGAAAATAAGATTTCAAAGTTCAAAGTTACAATTTCCACTACTTCCCTTCCGTTTCCTATGAACCTAACGCAAAAATAAACCTTCTTTATCTGGGAAATTAACAACTTTCATTATTACAACATAAAAGCAGCCAAATCTCAGATTTTTCTTGCAACATAACATGCAGATCAAAAAACACATAAAAAAGTGAAATTTAAAAGCAAAACCACAAAACAAGAACCAAAATTTGATAAAGCCTCCCCCTTTCTATTAGTAAAATAATTTTTTTAAAAAAAATATCTAGCAAGAAGGGTATTTAGATACTATGCTAACAAATCTAAACCAAACAAAATAATTCAAAATCAAATCCAAGAGGAAAACAAAAAGAAGAAAACAGAGCAGCAAACTTTGCTCTGTGTCTAAAATGACAAAACAACTAAAAAGAAACCAAATTTATGAAAAGGGTAATTCAGATTTTGTTCTAAAACCAAAAAAATGAACTAAAAATGATATAAAAAAATACCCCCAAAAACAAAAACCCTACCTTTCAAAAGACCTTTTTGTTTCTCACTCTTCTTTTTCTTCTCCTCCAACTGGTAAAGCACTTGTCTTTCTAACCATAAACCAATATCAAAAAATTTTGAATCTTTAAACAAATTCGAAGAACTTTCTCAATCTTGCAACCACTAAAGACAAAAACCCAAGAATTAAACAAAAGTCTTTTTGGGTTTTTTTAATTGAATTTTTTTGGTTTAAAGTATTTTCGTTGGTAGATAGTTGGAGGGGTTCAGGTATTTAGGGTTTTTCCTCTTTTTTTCTTTTAATTTGATATTTTCGGATTTTTTTTCGTCGCGTTAGTATCTCCGTATTTTGAGGGCTGTCTGATTAAGGGATTTCCTTTTTACGTTGAAATTCAAATCTTTCTTCGAAATCCCACCGCTGTCCCTCCTCTTGGCGGGTCCCCGCCGTGAAATTTTGTCTTTTATGACCGTTATACCCTTTGACGATGTTCGGACAAAGATTCCATAAAGGATATTGTCCGAACTTACCATTCACTCTTCTTCCTCTTTTTCTCTTTTTATTTAAACTAAAATACACCTGTCATAATTTTAATCATAATTGTTTTAAGCAATCATTTTTTTTCATAAAATTTTCAAATAAAATTTAAATAAATGTTTAATATTTAATTAAATTTTTATATTTTATTATATTGATGTGATACTAAAATGTTTTATGATCATAATGTTATATTAATATTAAAATATTTATTTAATTTAAAATAAAATATAAATATAAAATTTAACATAATAAAAAATTTTGAAATTTTTTAATTAATTGAAGAGTTTTTAAATATTTAATTGACATTTTAAATTTATATATATAACTTTTTTTTTTGGGTTATAAGACATAAAAGCGGTCCTTGTAGTTATGAAGTACAGGAGACTAAAAGCTTTAGAAAATCATTATGCAAAAGGTACAACTACTTATTGCTTTTTCTTTTAGCTTATCTTAAATGCCCTTCAAACTTTTTTTAATTAAAATTAAAAAGATTGTTAAGAGAAATCATTGAAAAGGGGAAATCACTACAAACCATTTCTCATGATTGTGAAGACAAAAAAAAATGTGTACAAAACCCCTTACTTAATGAAAGTAAAGGACTATGCAAAGCTATTATTATTATTATTATTCTAATTTTCATTAGTTTTAATCATATTTAATTTAGAGTTTCAAATTAAAATAGTAATTTAATCATATTTTTGTAATTTTGAAGATAACATGGCTCATGGGCTTCACAACTGAGCACAGTGCCCCATAGTAAAGACGAGTGGCAGTCATGGGATCCTGTGCCTTATCTTGCATTCCAAAATCTAGCTCCAGTTGGGGCTTTGTCTATTGTCCTGGACCAAGGGTAGTTCCGTCATTTACATTCTTGTACTTCCGGTGACCCCAAAAATTTTCAGTTCCCGCCCTCCCCATTGCTTGATTCCTTCACAGATTCAAAAGGGGATAGATTGTATCAGGCATCTGCTAAGAGTCAAAAACTCTCATGAGGTAATGGCAGAAAGATGACTTCTTTTGGGCCACAACCCACTCAAACATTTTTGATGATATTACATGTGCGAGGGAAGAATTTGAATTTTAAATGTTTTAAAAATTATAAATGAGTTTACTGATTTATTTTTATTATGTATTTGTATCGAATTTTTAAATTTTTTTATCAAATATTGATGATGTTATCAAAACGGATATGAAATTTTAATGACGTGAAACATAAATGCATTCAGTTTTTTATCATAAGATTGATAAAATGTGTGAATTTTCGAGATTCATATAACGGTGCAATAATTGTAGATGATATATGCTTTTATATGTAGACCCCTCTACTGGCACCATAGAAGGAAAAGTGGAGTCCAAGGTTTAAGATATTCTGATCCTTTTCAGTGAGTTCTTTGAGTCTCTGTTTATCAAATAAAAGCAGTATAAATTTTAAGACAAGTGGGAACTAATGATCTGTCATTGAACCTAGAATTGAAACAGATGCAAAGATCATTGAATCATCTGATTGTACCATGCCCAAAGTCAGTTGCAGGTTTTAGTGCAGCATGAATCTCAGCAGTTGAGACAGGTTGAGGTCTTTATTCTGTTAGGTAAGAACATTTAAAGGTGATGAACCAGATGTCCCATGTTCATTACCAGATTTATATCCGTATCTCCTGATGGTATACTTGACAAGAGATGGTTTGGTTGTTTCGTAGGAATGGTCAAGCTCTCGCAACATCTGGTCATATACCATCCATCAAAAGTTAAATTTCTCCGCATTTACTTTGACGAATCATCAAATTAAATGGCTCACAGCTCTGTAACAAAACCTATCTCCATTGATTGAATTACAGTTACAATATTTCTTCCTAAATTCTGGAAAAAGATGCTGAAACAGCATAATGAACAATTCACTGAAACATCTCAAATAGTGCAATACATACATGTATCATTATTGACATTGTGGAAGCATTCTACAGGTTGGGCAGTACCACTTTCCCTTGAATCTTGTCTCTGGCGTCAGCCCAACACATGCATAATGGAACCATTCACCTCCTTGACACTGAAGGAACAAATGTGTTAGACAATAAGTACCAAACAAATCTTAGTAGTCACTGTGTCAAATCATGATGAATAAATAGCAATTAAACTTTTTGGGGGAACAGGGGAGCTCATAATCAAAACATCATGTATTGCAACACATGTTTGTGCTACATATGCATAGTACTCCAACCCCACATTATCCGTTAATTCTTTTGCATAATTCATTATTGTGACACTTAGATGTGATTAATATAAGAAGCTTTAATAACTACAAGTTAATTATGGAGAAGTCAAATGTAAAGAAATACAAATGCTAGTACATATCAGTACAGAAAAAAAAAAGAAGATGGAGAGGAACGGAACTCACATTTTCATTGTCACAGGCAATCATATCTCCAAAGGACACCTAAATAATTGATAAAACAATCCTTCAATTTTGGATCAAACCTTTTAAATCAAAGAAGCAGTGAAAAGCATGTACAACAATAATTAGATGTACAAAATAATGAATAAAAAGGCAGAACCTGGTGGCAGACACAATAAGTAGGTTCATTTGGATCAATAGGTTGTTCTACATCAAGAGGGCTAGCGAAGTCCTTCTTATGGCTCCCTGGAGGAGGCATGAGTTCAAAGTCCCTATCACGCTCTCGATCCCAATCTCTATCCCTGTATTCTAGCCTCTTTGATTGAGGGGTTCCGTAAAAGTGCTTGCGTTTCTCAAGTTTAGGAACAATAGGTAAAGGAGGAAGAATGGCAGGCTCATCTGGTGGTATCTTTCCTTCTGATAAAATTGCAGGAAGAAAAAGCATGGTGACAAATTGATCACCTGAGGTAGTATTTTATCCATCAAAGATAAACAATTTTGATTCCAACTACTGTACCTTGCTTTAGATCTTCTGCAAAGTAGGTCAAATCCTCATCAAGACGTTTTACATGGCTATCTATCTGAAATACGTTTCAGGTATCAGAATTTGGTGAGCTTTAATCATAATGTGATTCACAAAAACCAACAGTAGCTTGTGAAGCTACATATATAGATATTATATATATAAGAAACCGGACCAATGGGTCTAGAATACATTGCATCCATAATTGTGGATGAACAAGAAGCAAAAATCTAATTAGTCTTATAGAGGGGAAGTAAGCACGAGAAAGTATCAGTGATAAAATCCATCTTGTTAGTCGCAAATGAATTGAAATAGAGTCCAGAAACTATGCCTTTTTGTAGCTTGAACCAGAGTTCTGGTGCTTGCCAGTCATACATTTTAGTGGCTGAGTAAAAGCCACTTAGATAGACTTTGAAATAATTATTTTGATTTTGTAACCAACGAGGCCCTGAATTCAGATATACTGGTTAAAAAGGTGCACAAGATTAGTAATTCTATCGCTTTCTACACGATCATACAGATCACAAAGCAATGCACAGTCAATCACAAACACAACAAATGGAACTCACCAAATCATAAGCCTGTCGAGCCAACAGAACCTTCTCGGTGCACAAGCTCAATGCATTTTCTTGACTTGCCTCTATATCCTTCCTCATTTTCTCAATAGTGTCCTCATCTTCATGACTATTATTAAAATAATTATTTCCATTCCCTCTTTTCGCCGCCAATCCTAGACAATACTTAGTTTGCTGCCTTGTATGATTAATCATAGCTTCCCCAAAAAAAAAAAAATCAATCACAATCCCTAAATTCAAAACCCTAATTTTTTAAAAAATAAAAACCCTAATTTTTTAAAAACCATAAATTATATAGGCTTACATTGGGACCGTTCATCGAGTTCTCGGATTGTATTCAGGAGTCTCTGAAGCTCAGCTGGTAATGTGCTTGCGTCTATTGGAAATTAAAAAAAAAATTCAAACTTTAAATTAAAACATGAAATTCAAGCTCGAAATTAACTTTAAAAAACCTAAAAAAAATAAAAATTTGATGTGAGAAACTTAAACAATCCGGGATTGGCACTTACACTCCAGATAATCGTCTACGTAGACGCCGGTTCTTGCAATTGCCATTTTAGGTCAGGAATTTGGTGGGTTTTAGGGTTTTGATTTGGAAGATCCTGCGAATTTAATATTTTTTTGCCCCCTCTAGGGTTTCTGCTGCGGATTATAGACGAAGGAGAAGGAAAAAAACGAGGTCGTTTTAGCTTGGTAAATAACAAAGAAGGCTTTTGACCGTTGTAAAGGCGGGGAATTCCGGTGGCTGGTAAATAATAAATATATATAATTATAATTGAAGAGAAAACAATTTATTTGAGGACTTTATTTACATTTATTTACTAATTTTTTGCTTTCTATTTTTTTATTTTACTATTTCTTGACCTAAACTGAAATAAAAATAACAAACAATAGTTTAAAAAAATAATAAAATAAAAGAAGTACATAATAAATGTAAATTTATTCATAATAAATCTCTTACTCGAACTTTAAACTTTTTATTCGTGTCTGTCTCAAACTTTATTTGATATATTCAATTAAAAAAATTCATTATTATCTTTAATTTACCTAATTAAAAATTTACCTTCATATTGAGATGAATAAACAAAATCTATTATATCTTGTAGCGTGTTATTATCAAAATTAAACCTTTAAATAACAAAAATTTAAAACCCAATTTATATCAAGCATCACAATTTAAAAAAAAACAAATTAAAAATTTTTTATTACAATTGTATCTTTATTTAAATTTTCAGCTATACTAATTTTTACTCTAAATTTTTATGAATTCATATTTAATGTATTATTTGTAGGTATTATTCGTAAATTAAATATTATTATTTTGTTAATAAATAAATTTAAAAATTTTAAAAATAAATTATTATAATTTTATAAATATGATATAATATTTTGTAATTATATAAATATTATACATGATGCATCAAATATATATTTTATTTTTATTTTTTATGAAAAAACAAAATTTTAAAAGACATGAAATAATTTCTTTTTTTTTTTTAACTCTACTAATACAATAAACGACATGTAGTTTTCAGTTATTCTGGTGCTTTTGGCGCCAGTCGATAGAGCAAAGCAAAACCACTAGCAATCCTTAAAGCTAGGAAAACTCTATGATATCTCACTGACATCTTTAAAACCTTTGGCAGAAACTCTTAGCAAAGTTGATGCTCAATCCAATACTCAAAAACCCAACAATAATCCCATGTTTCTTAACCATCTTTCTCTTCATGGTTCCTCCACTTATTCCTTCTTTTACCACTTCCCTTTCCTTAAACTCAAACCCCTCCAAATCTCTCTTAACCACTCCCAAAACTTCCAAAAGGTAATGCTTCTTCTTTTTTTTTTTTTCCGTTTTACTTAGTTATTCATTGACTTCTGTTATAACCCATTTCCTTTTTTCTTATGATATCTCATTTTCTGTTCTTATTTTTGGAAATTGTGCAGTATTTTAATAGGAAATGGAGCAGACTGAGATTAGCTTGTTTTAATACCAATGCTATTTCTCATTCATTTGATGAGCTTTCTATTGAAGAAAATGAAGGGAATTCGAAGGAAGTTTCTTTCTTGTATTGGATGGAAAATAGAGGTATAAAAGCCAATCAACAAACTTTTCTTTGGCTTTTAGAAGGGTGTTTAAATTCTGGGTCTATAGAGGAAGGAAAGAAGCTTCATGGGAAGATTTTGAAGATGGGTTTTAGTAAAGAACATGTTTTATCTGAAAAGCTCATGGATTTTTATATCGTTTCAGGTGATTTAGACGCTGCAATCAACGTTTTTGATGATATGCCAAAAAGAAATGTTTTTTCTTGGAATAAAATGCTTTCTGGGTTTATTTCAAAGAAACTGGATAATAAAGCTTTGAGATTTTATTCAAGGATGGTAGTTGAGAATGTGAATCCTAATGAGAGAACATTCGCCGGAATTTTAAAGGCCTGTAGCGGTAGTAATGTTTGGTTTGAATATGTTGAACAAATTCATGCTAGGATCATTCGTCATGGTTTTGGTTTTAGCTCCTTTGTTTGTAACCCATTGATTGATTTGTACACAAAAAATGGATTCATAGATTCTGCTATAAAGGTGTTTGATAAACTATATGTGAAAGATAGTGTTTCGTGGGTGGCTATGATCTCTGGTTTATCTCAAAATAGATATGAAGAGCAAGCTATTTTGTTGTTTTCTGAGATGCATATATCGGGAATTTTCCCTACTCCATATGTATTTTCAAGTGTTTTAAGTGCTTGCACAAAAATAGAGTTCTTTAAGCTGGGAGAGCAGCTCCATAGCCTTGTTTTCAAACAGGGATTTTCTTCTCAGACTTTTGTCTGCAATGCTTTAGTAACTTTGTATTCACGCTCTGGGAGTCTAGTGTCAGCAGAAAAAATTTTCAGCAATATGCAGCTTCGGGATGGAGTTACTTATAACTCACTGATCTCTGGGTTAGCACAGTGTGAATATAGTGATAGAGCTCTAGAATTGTTTGAGAAAATGCATCATGATTGCTTGAAACCCGACTGTGTTACAGTTGCCAGTCTTTTGGGTGCCTGTGCATCTCTTGGAGCCTTATATACAGGGAAACAGCTACACTCATATGCTATTAAAGCAGGATTTTCTATGGACATAATTGTTGAAGGTTCTCTGCTAGATCTTTATGTTAAATGCTCTGATATAGAAACTGCATATGAGTTCTTTAGTACAACAGAGACTGAAAATGTCGTTTTATGGAATGTGATGCTTGTCGCATATGGGCAGTTAGATAATCTCATTGAGTCTTTTCATATATTTAGACAGATGCAAATTGAAGGATTGGTGCCTAACCAATTTACCTATCCAAGTATTTTAAGAACTTGCACCTCAGTAGGAGCTCTTGACTTAGGAGAGCAGATTCATTCTCAAGTAATTAAAACTGGTTTTCAGTATAATGTGTATGTCTGTAGTGTACTAATTGACATGTATGCTAAGCTTGGAAAACTAGAAACTGCCTTAGAAATTCTCAGAAAACTTCCTGAGGAGGATGTAGTTTCTTGGACAGCTATGATTGCAGGGTATACACAGCATGATATGTTTTATGAAGCTCTTAAACTTTTCGGAGAAATGCTGAACCAAGGGATCCAATCAGATAACATTGGACTTTCAAGTGCAATCAGTGCATGTGCTGGTATTCAAGCACTCAGTCAAGGAAGACAGATTCATGCCCGATCTTTTCTCTCTGGTTTCTCAGATGATCTTTCCATTGGCAATGCACTTGTTAGTCTTTATGCTAGATGCAGTCAGAGGCAAGATGCATACAAAGCATTCAAAAAAATTGATAATAAAGATATTGTATCATGGAATGCATTGATATCAGGATTCACACAAAGTGGGCTCTGTGAGGAAGCATTGCAGGTTTTTTCCCAGCTGAATAGAGCTGGATTGGAAGCTACTTTATATACTTTTATCTCCTCTGTTAGTGCTGCTGCTAATACTGCTAATATAAAACAAGGAAAGCAGATCCATGCCATGATCATAAAAAAGGGGTATGACTTGGAAATTGAAGTGTCTAATGTTTTGATTACATTGTATGCAAAGTGTGGTAGCATTGATGATGCTAAAAAAGAATTTTTGGAAATGCCTGAGAAAAATGAAGTTTCATGGAATGCCATGATCACGGGCTATTCTCAACACGGATATGGCATCGAGGCAATAGATCTCTTTGAGAGGATGAAACAGATTGGTGTGACACCAAATCATGTGACTTTTGTGGGTGTTTTATCAGCTTGTAGTCATGTGGGTTTGGTGGATGAAGGCCTTGGTTACTTTGACTCCATGAGCAAAGAACATGGTTTAGTGCCCAAACCTGAACATTATGCTTGTGTTGTGGATCTTCTTGGCCGAGCTGGTCTTTTGTGCTATGCAAGAAAATTTATTGAGGATATGCCTATTGAACCGGATGCCATCATTTGGAGGACCCTCTTAAGTGCTTGTGCTGTTCATAAGAATGTAGACATTGGAGAATTTGCTGCTCATCATCTTCTTAAACTGGAACCTCAAGACTCAGCAAGTTACGTCCTCCTCTCTAATTTATATGCAGTGTCTAAGAAATGGGATTCTAGGGACCAGACAAGGCAAACGATGAAAGAAAGGGGTGTGAAAAAGGAGCCTGCTCAGAGCTGGATTGAGGTTAAAAATTCGATTCATGCATTTTTTGTTGGTGACAGGCTCCATCCACTTGCTGAGAAGATATATGAGCACATAGGGGATCTTAATAAACGAGCAGCTGAAATTGGTTATGTCCAAGACCGTTATAGCCTTTTCAGTGATGAGGAACTAGGACAGAAGGACCCGACTGTGTATATTCACAGTGAGAAGCTAGCTATTGCTTTTGGGCTCCTTAGTTTGCCCAGTGCAATTCCTGTTCGTGTCATTAAGAATCTTCGTGTGTGCAATGATTGCCATAATTGGATCAAGTTTGTGTCCATGATATCTAATCGACTGATTGTAGTACGAGATGCATACCGGTTTCATCATTTTGAAGGTGGCTCTTGTTCATGCAGAGATTACTGGTAAATTAATATTGAAATTGGGTGGACTAATGGGGCTTTGAAAATGCACCTTGATTTGATGCCTGAAGATGATTTTGTGCGTCATTTAGTAACAATTCATTGTGATAAGCATTATGCCTTCATTAATTATCTTCATATAAGACTGTACAGATGCTTTATGTGCTGTACTTCCAAAACTTCTTGTTATCAAATACTATCTTCTACTTTCGTAGTTCTTGCTCTGGTTTATCGTATCTTCTATAAGATGCTTCCTTCAAGACCCGAGCTGTCGATCATTATTTAATAGTGGTGTTTGCTTGTGCAGAGATAACTGGTAAATTTTGCATATATTTTGAGCCATCTCCTCAAAAGCTTGTAAAGCATTTTTCATTTTCTAATGGCGATCATTTACTTTATTTTCATTCTCTTTATTTTGCTTTGCAAGGTGAAAACATCAACAGCATATTTGATTAGCTTATTCTGTTTGAGCTTCACTTCCCTGTTTCCGCTACTGGTTTGAAGTTTGAAGAAGTTCAAGGTGCAACAACTTGTTTATCTCACTGTCGCTGTCTCTCTAGAAAACCAGAAGCTATCTGCTCTGATGTTAGACAAGAAGGTAACATTTTCCTCCTAAGCACCAACCTTGGAGTTTTAAACCTTGAAAAGAAATAGAAATGGAAAGAGCATGTGTACACTGAACTCTATCCTAGGTCCATATCTTTTACCAGCCTTCTGCTAATTGTTTTATGGTATATCTAATAGTTTTTTTAATAAAAAAATATTCTGCTCCACAGTCATATATGCGTCATGGAATACGTATACTCACTCCCCAAACAACCCTTTCTTTTGCTTTGTTTTATGGTGCATTTAACCTGCCTAGCTAAAACCATGACAGTGTGTGATTTGTTTAATACTATAAAGTTTATTGTTTTATTTTTGCTGAAATATTATAATATAAAATTGATTGACATTTACGCAAACCAATCTCTTTTCTGAAGTTTCAATAAAGAACTTGAAACTCCAGATAGATTAAAGAGTTTGTTCAAAGATGCCAACTGACTTTTGTTTTATAGTAATTTTGTTGTCTATTGCGAAGACTGAATTATTTTCCATTCCTATTTCACCTCTGGCAATGAGGGAAATTTTGAAATTGTCAAAGTATACTCTCACGTCAGAGCCTTGACCTGCTACAAATCATTAAAGCCCCTCAGTTCAGATTTCATTTTGTTCTGATCAGCTATAAATATCGTTGACACCCATCCATTTCCAAATCCCAACATAAAAGTGCTCTTTTCAGTTTTCCTCATTTCCAAATTCACTATTTCACCATTTTGGCAGCAGAAACAAGCATGGAGGAATCATCATCTTCCCTTTCGCTCAAGGACCGGGTAGCAATAGTAACTGGCGGCTCTCGTGGAATTGGCTGTGCCATTGCCATTCACCTCCATTCTCTTGGTGCAAGAGTTGCACTCAATTATGCTTCAAACTCTACACAAGCTGATCTTTTGGCATCTGAACTGAATGCCTCTTATACTCCTGAACATACCAGAGCAGTTGCTATCAAAGCTGATGTTTCGGATCCTAAGCAAGTCAAGCTACTCTTTGATAGAGCTGAACAAGAATTTGGCTCAAAGATACATATCCTTGTCAACTGTGCTGGTGTGATGGATCAAAAGTATCCAACCTTGGCAAATACAACAATGGAGGATTGGGATAGCACATTTAATATCAACACTAAAGGATCATTCCTCTGTTGTCGTGAGGCAGCCAATCGCATGACACGTGAAGGTGGTGGAAGAATCATAATGATCTCCACCTCTCTCGTGGGATCTCTCCTACCAGGATACGCAGCTTATGTTGCTTCCAAGGCAGCCGTTGAGGCTATGATGAAGATATTGGCCAAGGAGCTCAAAGGCACAAGAGTAACTGCTAATTGTGTTGCTCCAGGACCAGTAGCCACAGAGTTGTTCTTTGCTGGTAAAACTGACGAAACCATCAAGAGATTTGCGGATGCTTGCCCTTTAGGTCGATTAGGTGAGCCCAAGGATATAGCAGGGATAGTGGGATTTTTAGCTAGTGATGCTGGAGAGTGGATCAATGGGCAGGTAATCAGAGTCAATGGAGGAGTTGTTGTTTAAACAGCGTCATGCTGCTCTCTCTCCTTTTCTTTTCCTCTTTGATCTTGATGAATGGATTTTCCCCCATGTTTCATAGTATTTTTTACCAATAAATAAATAGCACTGGAAGCTGGAAATTTTCTCTGCTAATTATGGTAGAAAATAATTTTCATAACATCTACAACTTAAATTGTTATCCAATGGAACTCAACTCAAAAAATGAGCTTAACGCCTTAACCCCTAGAGCTAAAACTTGCCAACTTCAGATTCTGATACCAAATGGTAAAGCATATGAGATGAGACATGAGAGATTCAAAACGCCATTACACTTCCAATTTTCTTCTCCATTGCCTGGTACTTTTGTACTCTAGTAAGGCTTGGAAGTTTCCATTTTTAGAAATATCATGGTGGTATGGATGTAAGTCACCAGTCAACCAAGCAGTAAATATGCTCCAATAGGACTACTCGTTAAAAAAGGAACAACAAGGAAACAAGGACAATATCAACTCAAACACTACTTCTTGCACAATAAAGATAAGGTAACAAGTAGCAATTCTTGGAAACAGTAGATTTCAGATTCTCAAAACTCTTTCCACCTTTCCTTAAATACTATACAATACCCAATTTTTCAGTATCTCTCTCATTTCTTCAAATTCTTCAAAGTTTTAATCTTTTTTGACTCCCATGGCTTCCACCACCACCGGCACCAACCCTCTCCCACTCAAAGATCGAGTTGCTATAGTAACCGGGTCATCTCGTGGAATGGGCAGAGTTATAGCCACTCATCTAGCTGAACTCGGTGCCAAACTCGTTATCAACTACACCTCCAGCTCCGAACAAGCCGATCTCGTAGCTACCCAGATCAATACTCGTTACCCTGGGGAAAGCCCCCGAGCTGTTACGGTCAAAGCGGATGTTTCGGACCCCGCCCAGGTCAAGCTTTTGTTTGACTCGGCTGAGCAGGCGTTTGGCTCGGAGATTCACGTCCTGGTTAACTCAGCTGGAGTGTTGGATCCTAAGTACCCCAAAATTGCCGACACTTCCTTGGAGGACTTTGACCGCATTTTCAGGTACTCATGTCACTTGTACAAAATTTTATGATTTTGATTAAAAATATAAGAAATTTAGAATTTGCTTAGTAGATTGGAGTTAACTATGGAGCAATGTGGGACATTATTTTGCAGTGGTAGTTTTCTTGGGGTGAAGAACATTATCTTTATTGATTGGTCAATGGGAAAATAAGGATGCAAATTCTGAAATTGAGAGGTTTACTTTCTTTAGGAATTGGAAGTTATGTCTTAGAATCATGTGACCATGCACATGTTGTTAAGACTCATTGTACAATGTCATAAATCAGCTGCTTTGGGTGTTTCATATAAACAAATACTATTAAGAGCCTAATACATACCATAATGCTGAAGTTCAGACCTCTTGATCAATCTCTTGGTATGAAGAACAAGCAATATCCCTTGATAAATTAGGTTGATTACTGCAAAATTGTAGCTTTTAATAGCCTTAGAAGAACCTTTTAGTTGTAAGTATACATGGAATTTTAGACATGCTGCAGGTGGCATGGTATCATAACAAGTCGTAAGAATACCCTGCTTTTTCCTTAATGCTCCATTGATTTCTGTTTTGGTAAGGGTCATTTACAGGCTTTTGCATTTGAGTTTGGGAATCTATATCAGTGAGATGCAACATGTAAATAGATTATAGACATTTTGAGGTGGTTGCGTTCACTGAAATTCTTATTTGTGCTTTGATGTAATTGAGGCGAAAGAAAGTTGGATTCATTTCTTGAGTACCCTTACCCTATTTAGTTCTACATATGTTGTTTCAGTGTAAACACGAGAGGGGCATTCTTGTGTGCCAAGGAAGCAGCAAATAGGCTGAAACGTGGTGGTGGAGGGCGAATTATATTGCTGTCATCATCAATGGTGGCTGCTCTAAGGCCAGGATTTGGGGCGTACGCAGCGTCAAAGGCAGCTATAGAGGCAATGATAAAAATAATGGCAAAGGAACTCAAGGGGACTGGCATCACTGCAAACTGTGTGGCGCCAGGGCCAATTGCAACAGAGATGTTCTTTGCAGGGAAGAGTGAAGAAATGGTGCAGAGAGTGATCGATGAATGTCCTCATAATCGGCTTGGTCAGAGCGAGGATGTTGCTCCTGTTGTTGGGTTCCTGGCTACTGATGCTAGTGAGTGGGTTAATGGGCAGATCATTCGTGTTAATGGCGGCTATGTATGATTACTCATCACATCATGCCACATGCATTATGAAGATCAAGGACCAAATCCATGCAGACAAGATACGATGATATCTTGTGAAGACAAATTTAGACAAAGGATTTTGTAATATTTCAGCCCTTTCCTTCTCTAAATCAGGACTTACATTATAGTTAACAGCTCTTTTAAGCCTATTTAGTCTTCTGCAATACCTTCTGCTGCACAATAGTGGATTGTTTGTAAATACTTAAAATCAGTAAGATGATTGTGTCTGAGTCATAACAGGGAAGCAAAGTTCTGCCATGGCTGCTTATTCAATCCTTGCTTCTTAAGAGAGTTTCTATTCATGGATTTACAAAAGTGCAATATGCTTAGTTGCTTTGTTCATCGTTTCTTTATCCAGTCAGGTCTAGAAGGTTGGCCGTTGGCATCCACTAATTGTGAGTGAAAATTGTGTTCTTTCGACTCCATCATTTCTCATGGAATCCCATATTAGTAAAGAGTTGAGTTTTTTTTATATCACTTATTAGTCTCATTTCTAATTCAGACAGCGAACATGGAACGCAACGCGAGGCCTCAGTGATTTATGCTTAGTAATCCTTCAATTTCAGTCCTCTTCTTTTTCAGGACTACTTTTGCCACTTTGACGCACTTTGTGACTTCATCAAACAGATATTTTTTCTGTTTCGAATGGTTCCTTGTCGCCACTCGACATGTCACATCTAGTTGCAGACCCACTCAAATAGCTGACAACTGCTTTCTTCTTGTCCCATTTTGATCATGTTACCCTCTGCTTACTGGACCACCGGTGCTGCAGCATGGCTACCAGCATTAGTGGCACTCCCATCCCAATCTCATCTCTCCCTCTACATGACCGGGTAGCTATAATCACCGGTGCGTCCCGTGGCATCGGCCGAGCGATAGCTCTCCATCTGGCTTCCCTTGGAGCCAAACTAGTCATCAATTACACGTCCAACAAGGTCCAAGCAGATCTTGTGACGGCAGAGATTAATTCTTTTTTTCCTGGTAACACCCCACGAGCCTTGACAGTCCAAGCCGATGTCTCCGATCCTAGCCAGGTCAAGTCCCTCTTCGACATAGCTGAACAGTTCTTTAACTCCCAGCCCTACATCTTGGTCAACTCAGCAGGTGTTAGCAACGATAAGGGTATCTCCGTAGCCGACACTCCAGTGGAAGAGTTCGATGAATCCTGAGGTAACAATGCCATGCTAAAAAGTCCAACAACGTAAGCTCATGTATGAGTTAAATAGATTATTAAGTTATGCATCATATTTCATTTCAGTGTAAACACAAGGGGGGCTTTCTTATGCGCCAAGGAAGCAGCAAACAGACTGAAACGCGGCGGCGGAGGGCGAATTATACTTCTATCATCATCGATCGTGGCGTCGCTGAGGCCGGGATGCGCGGCGTACGCAGCATCAAAGGCAGCAATAGATGCAATGGTGAAGATACTGGCAAAGGAGCTCAAGGGAACTGGCATTACCGCAAACTGTGTTTCACCGGGGCCGATTGCAACAGATATGTACTTCGCAGGTAAGACAGAGGAAATGGTGCAGAGAGCAATCGATGAGTGCCCACACGGCCGGCTTGGCCAGGGCCAGGATGTTGCCCCCGTTGTTGGGTTCTTGGCCACTGATGCTAGCGAATGGGTTAATGGTCAGGTCATTCCTGTCAATGGTGGCTATATCTGATGCTTACATAAAATGTGCCATGTATGTTAATTTTAAAGCATATCAGAAAAGAAAAAATATGGGATAAGCAGGACAAGATTGAAATTCGCTCGTACTTATTCCATATTAGATTCTATAGCATTCTTTTTCACTTGAATTTATGATACTCTCGTTATTCGATCAATTGGAATTCTTAATTTGATAATGAAATCGAGTTCAGATTAAATTTGATATCGCTTGATCATGAGCAAGGCCAAGATGGTAATTAAAGCCCACCAAGGCAGAACAACCCAAGCCCACAAAACTAAAGGCAACCCATCAACAAAAGAGCGCAAAATCAGCCCTTTGGGAACGAATCCCATTCAAACTTCCGAATCTACCCTTCCAGAACCTTGTAAGAAAAGAACTATCGCATGAAAACATCGCTTATCTCAGCTCTTTCCCAACATAACCGGCAACAACCGGTAAGTCGTGCGGGTTAACCGGCTAATAGAGTCAACGTCTATAAATATGGCGATCTAGGGTACTAAATGCCAACACGATTGAACCACCGCCTCTCTCCTTCTTTTATAAACCTAACTCTCAAAATTCTCATCATCAAAACGAGACCTCTCAAAATCCAAATCCTTTTCTGTCTTGCCCTCCTCCTCTTATATATACTCGAACGAACAAAAACCTATAAAGGACTCTTCTGTTCAAACACTTGCCCTCTATTTTCCCTCCAATTTTTGTAGATTTACCCCTTTAAATTCCCTAATTTTTGATTTTTTTTCTCTTCAAAAAGGTGTTGAATTTAATTAGATTTGTGTAAAATTGGATCTGTTTGTTTTATATTGGGTATTCTCTTCATTTCCCTCCAAAGTTTGTAGATTTATCCCTTTTGAAACTCTAATTTCTGGTAAACGTCGTGAATTTGATATATTTGGGTTGAAATTCGATCTGGGTTTCTGGAATTTAGAGAAGAACCCTGAGATTTTTTGGGGAAACTTTGGGGGTTTTCTTTTTGGGTATTTTGGGTGAGGAACAAAAAAGAGAATGGCAGAACAAGGTGGCTTGGAAGGGAGCCAACCAGTGGATCTTTCCAAGCACCCATCTGGCATTGTTCCCACTCTTCAGTAAGTCTTCTTTTTGCCTCTCTTGTCTTAAATTTTGACACGTGTAAATTTTTCTTTGTGTATAAACGTATATATGCTTAAGATTTGGTTGACTGGGTTAGTGGATGGGGCGGATCTCTTAGGTGTTATTGGACAGGGGGTTTTAATTAAATCGTTGGAAAAAAAGTGTTTTTGGGATATGGGTCTGTTAGATTTTTTGAGTTGAATGGGGTGTGATGTGGCTGACCAGATTTTCTGGATAGGGCTCATCTTTGGGTTTTGGAGACAGGTAGTCAATTAAATCATTCTGAAAAGGGTGTTTTTTGGATATGTGAGTGACATGTAATTCATGCTTGACCTTTTGATGATGAGAGAAGTTTGTGGATAGGTGTTTCTAGTGCAGGATTGTGCAAGGGTATTGGTATTGGAGATGGTTTTGATTATTGTGGTAAGAAGAAGGTGGAATTAGGGGATATCCGATGTGAGCTTTTGATGTTTGTGTATGTTGAAAAGAATGTAAAGAAATTGAGTCTGCTTGTAAAGGATTTGATTTTGTTTGTAAAGAAATTGATTTTTCTTGAGTAGGCTCTTATTGAAATTTTAAGGACATTTAAGCGTGACTTTGTAATGTATTAACTGAAAGATTTGACTAGATTTCTTTGGATTAGTAATGGTTCATGTTTTCTTTATTGTACTTGATATAGTTGTTGAGTGTTTTAGATATGAATGGTGTGGGTAATTCAATAAGATGAGTAATATATAAATTACAACAAATGTCATAACTTAAGCATGGCCCGCCAGCTTGTGAGCGAAAGAATATACCACTTGAGGTCTACTGGTTTAACCACATATTACACTTGAGTCTTGTTTTTAAGTGGAATTGGCTAGCCGAATAAATTGTAAGTGGCTTGACTCGTTTTAAGCCTGATTGCAAGACATTAACTGATCTTAATGGGAGGTTGAAAACTGTTGCATTGGGCAAAATTTCTTTATTAGAGTTAAGACTTGTAAGAAGTTTTGCATCGGAGCATATATCTTTTCTGTGCTTGTAAAGTTGTAATGATTCTTCAACTAAGTGTGAATCCATATTAAAACTTTTAAGAAAAGCAAAAGATTTAAGTTTCTTTTAACTTCTATTAGAATTGTGCTCTTAATCCCTTCTAGATTGGGTTTTGACTGCAGTTGATGTCTGGAAATCTTAGTATTAGCCTTACTGTGTTTCTAGGAACATTGTATCGACTGTGAACTTAGACTGCAAGTTGGATCTTAAGCAAATTGCCCTGCAAGCACGAAATGCAGAATACAATCCTAAGGTATACAGGGGATGGCTAAATTTTAGTAATTATTGTTTTTTTGTTTGTGCAGCTTCTGATGCTGCTGTTGTTATGTGGCTGCTAACCCATTTATTTATGAAATGACCGTACAGCGTTTTGCTGCTGTCATTATGAGAATCAGGGAGCCTAAAACCACAGCTTTGATTTTTGCTTCTGGAAAGATGGTAGTTTCTTTCTTATTGGAAATTACACATATGCATTTATTCAGTTGTTGTAAATTATTTAGTAAATAATTAATGCTTGCACCAATTGTTTGAGCCTAAGCATGTTGTCATTGTTCAATTATTGATATACTAAAACAGTTTGCCTTGCTTCCTCAGGTCTGTACTGGTGCCAAAAGTGAACAGCAGTCTAAATTGGCTGCAAGGAAGGTATATATTTTTCTTTGAGATGCTTGTCATTTAATTCTGTTTGTGAACTATGTTAGAGGTCATTTAGCTCGGTGATATTTATTCTTATCATTAGCATAGGTGGATGCAATCATGAAGTTGGCCAACTAACATTATTTTTGTGCTTTCAGTATGCCAGAATCATCCAAAAGCTTGGTTTTCCTGCTAAGTTTAAGGTACTTGCACTATTTCTTCCCTTTTGTCTCATGCAAAACATGTTAATAAAATCACATGTATGGGCTGATATTCCTTCTTCAATGGTATATTTCCATCCTTGGATTTTTGCCATCTTTGTTGTGATCGACAGGACTTCAAAATTCAGAACATTGTTGGTTCCTGTGATGTCAAATTCCCTATCAGACTTGAAGGTCTTGCATACTCCCATGGTGCCTTTTCAAGTGTAAGGGGTGGTCATTGTTCTTTGAGTAGTTTCCTTTTATATAAGAACACTGTATATGCATGTTTCTAGGTGGGCATTTGGGATTCTCGCGTTTGAGTGCCTGACTGCCTGTGCCCTTTTCTATGTGTGCATGCAGTATGCACGTACTAAGTCCTTTTCTGTGAGCCTTTTGAATTTCACTTACTGGCCCTTATAGCTGCTAAGCTCAGGGGACGATGGTCAAAATTTTCAGTGAATTTACTTTAAAACATAAATTGCAATAAAGTTAAACAGAATTGAAAATATGAAGATAAGTTTGGGCTTGTAATTCTTAGATTTAGTTCTTTTTGGTACAAGTGTAGATAATAGAGACATGCTTGTTGATGTCAAGACTTGTTTATTTTGATCAAGGATTGGGACTTATCTTCATGTGTTTTACTGCAGTATGAGCCAGAACTATTTCCAGGCCTGATCTATCGAATGAAACAACCAAAGATTGTACTTCTTATTTTTGTGTCAGGGAAGATTGTGATCACTGGTGCTAAGGTGGTTATTAAGCCTTTGTTCATCTCTTACGCATGCTCACTCTGGTGGAATTACTAATTCTCTTTATTTGACTGTCACAGGTGAGAGATGAGACATACACAGCCTTTGAGAATATATATCCTGTCCTTACGGAGTTCAGGAAGAACCAGCAATGGTAGGAAGCTACACCTGTCTTTCTCTCTGAAGTGATTGACTAGTGTTACTTTTTTCATTTATTGTGTAAGAATGTTCTGAATATGGCCTCTGACTGATCCTTAATTTGCTGACAGATATGCATACGAATGGGACCTTGACTCTGTTGTGGATAGTGGGTTTTTCTCTGCCATGGTGGTGGGAGTTGGATTTGAAGTGTGAATATATGAAGAATGGGGGATTGGCACATGGCTTTTTGGCTATGTTTGTCATATGGGGTTGTCTGTTTTCCTTAAAAGAACCTTTAGTCTTGATCTATTACCCTTCCAGCACTTACAGGGATGCAAATCATCGTGTAATTAGTAATCTGGGAGGGAAGAGAGCAGACTGAAAGGAACATCAGGGTTACCTGTTGTAGACATTTTATTTAAATAATAGAGACTTCATTCCAATTTTGACCGTTGACACTCTTTATTGCACTAGGCTGGCATGTATGCTGAAAACTATACCATATTATTAATTTGTACCTCCTGTGTTAGAAAATGCTGAAACCTTGTAAATTAGATTTTAGAGAAAGAAGAAAAACTTGGAAATATATGTAATGTTACTTGATTGACACTTTTCCTTATTTGCCTTTTATTCTTTCATTTGGATGTACATGCAAACATTGGATAAGGTAAAATAACTCAAGCCTTGATTGAAGATAAGAGTGACTTAATAAGATTTTTAGTTTCCCTTTTACTTGGAAATTTTACCTCTAATTTTCCATGGACTTTCCCACTATCTTCCAATTTATACTAGTCTAAAAGACTAAAAAGCTATGATCCTTCTTGCTCTTCGGAAAATTTGAAGGAAAACAGAGAAAGGTGGGTAAATTTGTCATTTAGTTGAATGTGAAGAAGATATTCCCTGTGCAGCGGGAGCACATGCCAAAATATTTTGTGGCAACGGTTTTATCTTTGAAACTCAAGCCTTCCCTTTCTCTTTCGGTTCTTTCTTCCAAGAAATAAGAACGGTTCCTTGCTCTCTTTTCTCTCTTTGTGTTTGGATTACTAAAGCATCCTGGAACAACAACATTTTTTTTTTTGGAAAATTAGAAACAACAGCATTAACTACCACAAACAAGCTTCTGAGAGCTAGAGCAAAATCTTGGTTGTAGTTAATGGCTCAATTCACCCCACAAGGACGTTTGAAGCTGCTCTTTCATGGTGATGGGGTTGAACCAAAAGACCCTTTTCATTATAAGCTTGTTAGCAATGTTTTTGGTGGTTCTGGTGGGTTAAAATCACTTCAGGCTCAGTGTAGGCTCAGGTTTCTTGGTTCTACAGCCACAAGACAATACTTTCCTTCCTCTTTGAAGAAAGGCAGAAAATTTAACGCAAAGGCTCGTCCGAATGTGAGTGATGAAGGATTTTATGATGAAGAGGATTATGATAGTGACTTTGAGACTGATAATTTGGCTTGTTTTAGAGGTCTTGTTTTGGATATCTCTTACAGGTAAAAATACTTCTCAATTACTCATCTTTTCTTGTTTGATTCGATGCTTTGTTTTGTTATTTCAGTTGGGTATTTGTTTAGAAACATGGGTTCTTGCCCTCTTGGAGTTATGGATTTAGCTTTTTGCACTTATTCTTCTCATCTTTTGTTTCTGTAACTTGATTTGAAAGGGAATGCAGTAAACTAATGAATATTGAATAATATGTAACAAAGACCATTGCTCAATAAATTAATTATAGTTCTGAAGCTAAACAAAACTATTTGTCTAAAAGAGATGCTTCTCTGTTGCTTAATGTTTTAGCTTTCTGCCATTCCATTCTTACATACTCCAATTTTCTCTAATCAGTATTATACGTTATCAATTATCACTGTTTAGAAATATCTGAAAGGGGTCTGATGGCTGATTATCTGGAAGTAACTCAATTAGTTCTCTGAAGGTGTTCATATGGCTAATTATTTGACAGCATTTTCCCTGGTGTTCAATCCACAACATGATACGCCTTTTGTTGCTACTTCTCTAATAATTTAGGCTGACTTTCTTAGTTTTGTTTTGATATTAATCTGCTCATTTGTTACCCCCTGCCAGACCCGTCAATGTTGTCTGCTGGAAGCGTGCTATATGTTTGGAGTTCATGGAGAAGGTTGGACTAGTGTGGATCACCTTTTCATTTTAGATGTTTGGCTGGAAGTCATGTGAGGCTTTTTAGTTTTCAGCTTTTGCAGTTGTTTACTTCTTTAAAATTGTTATCCAACATGACGAAAGGTACTGAAGGGTGATTTCCTTACTAATTTGGAGTACCTCTTTTTTTCCCATTCATTATATGATAGGATAAAATGTCTGAAAAGCATGGTGGCAGATTAGTGTCGGCTTTCCCCTACCAAAAAGAACAAGAATCTTAATGTTTACTGTAGATAGCTCATCTGTAGTACATGAAGTAATTTTTACGTTTTGATTAGTTAATTGTTTAAACACTTAAAAAGCATTACCTCTTCATCTACTTCTTTGCCTTTTCATATAGAATTCTTCTTTTCAGCATTTAAGTTACCTTGCTTTAATCCAGGCCGATGTTCTAGAGTATTATGATCAGACTGTGAACTCTCCAAGTGGATCTTTCTATATACCAGCTGTGTTAAGGGTATGAAGTTGAGGACCATTTATCATTTATTGTGATCCTTCTTGCAATTTCTATCACCATTACTTTCTCGTTGCTTCACTTATTCACTTCTCTGCTTAAGGCTTTTTACCTTCTCTTCTTAAGGTTCCTCATCTTCATGCATGTCTTAGTCTACTTGAATCGCTTTATTCTTTACTCTTCCAGGTTCCCCATCTACTGCAAGTTGTTAAGAGAAGAAGAATCAGAACCAATCTTAGCCGCAAAAATGTTCTATTTAGGGACAACTTCACTTGTCAGTAAGTTGTTTATGATTACACTTGTCACAAGTGCTCATAAAAACTACCCTTATCAAGTTAACGTTATCACATCAACAAATAGGATATAATCCTTTTTTAGGTAACAAAGTTTGTCCCTCTAAATCTTTGAGTATGAGAAACAAACCACTAGCTTTTGTAGATATCAACTGGTAAATAACATTAGTGATATCTTGAGGGTATATGTTCAAAATTTTGTGCTAATTATGTGGCTAAGTTATGATGTGGAGGTTGCTCAATAGGCATGTGTAACTTCAGAACTGAGAGAAAACATAGGACCCTTTGTTACTAAATTTTTTAGTTCAATTTATTGACTTGTACCTCTCATATTTTCTTGACCTCTCAGACATAAATTTTTTCAGTCAATTCTTTCTAACTCTTTTTGAAACTTTTCTTGTTCTACGAAATTTTCACACTTTTCTAAATCAAAATAAGTAAATCTTCTGTTTCTGTGTTCTCATTTTCCCAAACATTATGTATTATTGTAATTATAATTTCTAACCCCCGGTACATCTTGTTCCTTCCTGTACCAAAGAAAGATCTTTCTTATCAATTCAGTTCAATAGCAATTGTTTGTTTCCTTACAACAAAGCTTTTCCTTTGTCAACAGGTATTGTTCTGCTCATGAGAACTTGACCATAGACCATGTTCTGCCAGTTGCAAGAGGAGGGGAATGGAAATGGGAAAATCTGGTAAGATGACCAATTAAACAGATAGGTGATTCAATATTTGTGGATTACCCCATTTATTCTTGTTTGAGCTTACAATTGGTGCTTAAGAGTTAAATACGTTGCTGTTACGTATTTTCCTTTCATCTGACTGAAAATCAAGACTAAGAAGAAGTAAACACAAAGGAAGAATGTGATATAAGATTACAAGAAAGAGGAAGAAAGTTTCTTTTTCTGCAGTAAAACACACAACTTTTTTGTTGCTTAGTCTTTCTCACAAAAATATTCATGCTATGACAATTATCCTACATATTCATCGCTCAAAGTTATTTGCTTCTTTCCTACTAATTCTTTATTAAACATATAAGCAGGACAAGTTTTGAGAAAAGATGGGTAACATTGTACGGGGCATCTGTCGAAGATGACTAGAGGTGTTAAAATGCAGAAACATTTTTGGTCTTTGAAGATTTATAAACTTTTATGAAGCTATTGGTTCTTCCTTTTATTTTGGATGAAATGACTGAAAATTTTGATGAAGAGCTACGTTTGATTGCCATTACTTTAAACATTTTATTAAAAACACTTCTGTCAAACCACCCCATAGTCTTAATTATGAATGAGGGATTTGTTTTCTACTTGTTTTATGTTCTGGAACCATAGGAAATCTGATTGAAAGAGAGTTTAAGATGTCACAGTTCAACCACCATGAATGTACAAATCTTTGTAGTTTTATCTTTTGTGTGTCTGGTACAGGTCGCTGCTTGTGCCAAGTGCAATTCAAAGAAAGGTCAAAAAACTATAGAGGAAGCAAATATGAAGCTGATTAAGGTCCCCAAGGTATTTCATCTACTCTCATGAAACTGCACAAGCTTCATTTGTGCAAAATCACGTACGGGAAGCTGGTTTTTCCAGCCATAGATAGCATTTGGCAAACAAACAAAGAGAAGGAGAGAGAGAGAGAGAGAAGACCATAGTCCACAGATGGCATCACCTTTGTCTCTTTTCTAGATGTGAATGAACAGAAGGATAACATTGAGATAATCATGAAAAATCTTAAGTTTTTCTGCATTGACTTTTGATAGATGGCTATTAACATGACAATGATTTCGTCTTTGAGAACTACGATCTTGTCCCCTTGATTGTCCAGGTCCCAAAGGATTACGACATACTCGCCATACCCCTAACAAGTGCAGCAATAAGGATGTTGAGGAAGAGAAACGGGACACCTGAAGAATGGCGTCAATATCTCTCCCCTTCCGCAGAGCCTTGACATCCATCCATACTGCTAGTGCCTTACACTTATATTTCGTACATATTACATCATCGCTCACTTCTAAACTGTGTCAAAAGCTGTCTTGTATTTCATGTAAAGCACCGAAACCCTTTTCTCTTATGATTCATGAATAGGATGTATTCATGTCTAGTAAGTGCTTAACTTAGTATATTCATTTACTTATAGGATTTTATTTGGCAATGTTTTCAAGGCCAAACACTTTACCCCTAGAACTAGTTACCAATAGCAGTGTATCAAGTTACTGATGATTAAATAATTGCTGATCATTTTAACAAACCCCTCCATTCTCTTTCATTTTGTTTTTCCATGTGAATATACTTATTTTTGGATATCAGAACTAGTCATTGGTGAGAGTTACAAAGAACTCAAAATGATTTGGATGCATTGTTCATAATTCTGTTTATCACTTTTTAAAGTCATATCATGGCTCCTCTGGAAAGGGACAAAGGAAAGAGAATTGCAAAATCTTAATTCAAAGAGTGATGGCGGAATCCATTGACTTGAAAACATGGTGGTAACATGCACTCTGATATGCTGGAATGAGGCATATTTCCTGTGACCTTATTTGCATACAGCTCAAGCTCAACTCTCTCTTGCTGGCTGGTCATCAAACAATACTCTGATATTTGAGTGAATTTTTAGTAAGAAATGGTCTATCCGACCATAACAATGCAGTTAATATCTTATCAGTATTCAAAATTTACATTCAAAAGAAAGATTTAGAGTTCATACCCTCTCTATGTTCTCTTTCTATTAGTCCCCTTTCATGATTTTGCAACCATTAATGTGACGTCAAGTTCAACTTGAGAGTACAGATATGAAACTTGAAAATTGCTGCAGAATCCCAAATCAGGTCATCATAAAAAGATTAGGCAGGCTCACATGGAATCCCAAGGAGCATATGTTCTGCTCTTCTTTTTTAATGTTTCAAATTTTCATTATGGAGAAAGAGATGGGAAAGGGAAGAGGGGGGGACTGGTGTTGTCATGCTTGTGGACTTTTGAGCATATGGCTGGACAGAATCATATCCTTTAGCCACATTTTTCCCCCTCCTTACCTCATTATTGTTATTCAAACTTTCTCACCCTCACTCTCCTACAATTATTGTTTGCATTGTCCTATTTCTACATTGAAGGGTAGCAGTTGGGGATAACTCTGTCCCATTGCCAGACAGAATTGCAGCCCTGACTAGTCCAGTCAAATTATAGAGACTACTCAAAATTATTTCACTCAATTGATTCAAAAATTTTAACATAACTCTTGTGTAGAAAACTGTAACTAAGATTTGCTAATTACTTGATTATGAGATTGAAGGGTAATACATTGAATTGGAGAAGAGGGAGAGTATGTAACATTGTCTTTAGTATAACATAATTTGCAAGAAAAAAGAGAAGGAAAGCTGATCAATGGGGGTCATTTCTGTATGGCCAGAATAAGGCAAGGCAAAGAGGGAGATGGGTTATGTGGGAAATGTTCAAATTTTCTAGTGTAATCACATGGCTGGTGATCAAGGTGGCCAGTATGTTGGTTGAACTGAATTACTGTTAATTGACTGTAGTGATTAACCATTTGATGGGGACATGCTTCAAGCTATCTGATAATGGCTGATGTGGTGATGTGGGGTCCATGGATGTATCATCTTGATTCATAAAATATATACCTTTGATGTGTATATACATTGTATGTTGTTTTCGACTCTTATTGTTTTTAAGTATGTATTCAATGCATGTTTGATAAATATAAATCCAGAGGTTCACCTCTCCAATTATATAAAAAAAAAATTATAAAAAATTAAAGGAATCTTGCAGGATACATCCCTGTATCTAATACTTACCTATATACCACAGAGTAATTGTACGAGTAGTGAGGATTATAGAACAGCCAAGGAGGTAGCAGTGCCCTGCCAATGCATTCATCTGTATATAAACATAAAATTCTAACAAATTGACCCACCAAGCATACATATTTTGTGGATCCCATGTTTAATTTCTAGAAACCTTCTTCCCTGATACAGACCTAACCTCATGCCAAAGGGTTCACTTCTCTTCCCTGCCATTGAGTTTTTGGACCCCAAGAGTGAAGTGTCCTTTTCAGCTATATTAGCTAGTGGTTCCTGTTTTTTGTTTTCCCATTAATTAGATTTATTAAGGACAGAGTCATGAAAATCTGATTTACAAGGACAGCTTCTTGTTAGCATGTGAGGGCATTCATTAGCAGGGAACAGCCAAATTTAAAGACAGGGTCTTCAGAAATAATTCAGGCAACTTTCTTGGAAAGTATAGCAACATATTATTAACTGGAAGGTTGAAAATGTATAAGATAATGCTGCTTGAAGAAAAACCCAAAATCAAACTTTGCCTTCAAAAAGATTGCAGGGGTTGGAATCATATATTTTGAAACTCCAATGGCCATGGAATTACAGAAAGATACAGTTTGATCACTGAGAATATCGAAGATGGGACTCTTCTGAATAAGGCTGCAACCCCCAAAATATCCATGGCCTAACATTAGAAAGATTGACTGACAATAGATCATTTGATAAAATGAACATTCATAGTGTAACAAATGACTATGATCAGCAAAGTTATTGGTTCCCCACCATTAACATGTTTCCATCCCTCCAGGCAACCTTCTGCAAGATCAACATCACCTGATAAAAGCTGGTTTAAGAAAGTTTTTTCTTTTCTATTTTTTCACCTTTTATTTCGGCCAAGGAAGAAGAAAGGAAGTTAACCTTTCATTTAAGAAGCTAGCAGATTATTGTATTGTGCAAGCTCACACTGTTAATGTTAGTACTTTGCCTTCCTGGTCACATTAGCTCCCCCGCCCCTTCCCCCTCTTACATTATTCCTCTTTATCTTTTCGTTTTTTGTAGTTTCGAGAGAGATGCCAGTGGCCTTTCTTTTACCGGAGCAGGCCTCAGATTTATGGACCCACTGATCAAAACCGTCTCCACAGCTGCACTCAAAAGTTTCTCTCCACTCTCCCTCCCTAACCCCATGTACCCAAATTCAAAACCAATGCTAAAATTTTAAGATAAATAAAAATGGAAAAACCCAAATTCAAAAATTGTCACCTGTCCAAGTATATTAATTTTCAAAACCAAGAAAAAAGAAAAAAAAAGAAAAATGGGTCTAATTCTTATCATATTATATATACATTTAAGCAGTAAGAAAGAGAGGGATATGGGGGCAATTCTTTTGTATATTTTTTTTCCTTTTTTCCTTGTGATTGAATAAGCTTTGATTGTTTTCTTTAGCTTTATCTGCCGACAGAAAACCAGGCCATAAAGGGGGCCGAAATTGAAGACAGCTTAGCAAGGCCCCCTTACTACTCTCTATAGTCCTATTCCTATACACCAACATTTTCTTCCTCTCTTACTTCCTGTGTTTTCGTTTCAAGTTTCTATCTTTCACTTTCTCTCTTGGAGGGTAACAAGAAAGTACAATTTTTTATTTTTCTTTCCCTTTTGTTTTGGTGTTTGTTGCTATGGATTTTTGCCAAAATGTGTCAGTCTCCGGTGAGTACCAACAAGACCAAGTCCTTTCTTCTCCTTGCTCCAAACTTGGTGCTACCTTAGCCACCACTGGCACCCTTGATGACCTTTTCCCTGCTCAGAATACGGTCAGTTTGCTCTTCCTTTCTCCCTTTCTCCCTTTCTCTTATTGCATGGCTACCCACAGTCCTGGATTCTCTTCATTTTTTTCCCTCTTATTTCTTGCTTGTTTACGGCTTTTGTCTAACTAAATGGGAACAGAAGAGAAGGTTTTGTTAAAGTTTTTGTCTTTCTTTTAGTTTTGATGAGTTTAAAGTGTTGAAATTTGTTTGCTTTTGTGGCTATACAAATTGCAGGAAGTGGATAAAAGTTTGGAATGGTTGTCTATATTTGTAGAGGACTGTTTATCCAGCACAGGGAACTGCATCCCAGTAGCGGCAACTACAAATGTTCAGAACGTAAGTACAACAACTGCAACAAAGCCTGCAAAATCCTTGCAGCAGAAGCCCCAACAAATTATTCCACCTTCCTTGCAGAAATTTGTAGTTCCAGGCAAGGCTAGAAGCAAAAGAAAGAGGGTGGCTGCCACAACGTTATCCAAAACCAAAATGAACCCATTTACCGGCTGGTCATACCAGCTAAACTCACATAACCAAAACTTCCAATTGGCTAGCTCAGACCCCCCTTTGCTTCAACAAGCATATTGGTTAGCTGACAGTGAACTCATTGTGCCCAAAAAGGAAGATGACAGCAACAATAGTAGCAGTAGCATGATGGGAAATAGTGAGGTAGAAGAATCAAAGAAAGAGGAAATGGAAGGGGAGAAGATGGTGGTGGTGACTAAAGAGAGTTCGGGAAGCCTGGAGGGGAATAGTGGGCAGCAGCAGCAGCAGCAGCAGCCAAGGAGGTGCACTCATTGCTTAGCACAAAGGACCCCACAGTGGAGAGCTGGACCATTGGGTCCAAAGACTCTATGCAATGCATGTGGGGTGAGGTACAAATCAGGGCGGTTGCTGCCAGAGTATAGGCCAGCAAAAAGCCCCACTTTTGTGAGCTATTTGCACTCCAATTCTCACAAGAAAGTGATGGAGATGAGGATGGCTTTGCTGTCTTCAATTCCTAGCGAGCAGTGATGACTTTTTCTCCTTTTTTCTCTTCTTTTTCCCTTCCTTTTTGAAACTCCCATTCCCTAATGTAAATCAAAGTTTAGATAGGGAAAAAAAATATTTGAAGAAAATTCTTCACTAGTAAATGTAGTAATTCCCTTATTTCTTGAGGCATTTTAGTGGCTTAATTATATACCTAATATTATAATTTATGGGCTTTCCCCTCTGCAATTTTATGACATATCCTTTTCTCTATGCTTCAGTTTTGTCTTCTCTTTTGGCCATTAGACACTGGCCTTCTTAGTACTTAAATTAAACCAAACTAGAATCCTAAGACAACTAGGCAATGTCTCCTGTTTCTAACCTTGTTTGCTAGCGGAAATCTGTCAATCTTAATGAAACAATCCTGCCCCTCAAGTCATTGCAACTATTCATGTTGGTTAGGTCATGAAAATCCCATGACCCGATTGCATTTTAGTATCAAAAACAGAAAAAACAAAAAAACCCATCTCACAGCTGCTTCTGATCTTCAAGGACATTGACTCAAAGAATCTATCTACTAAGAATCCTATTACCAATATTTAAATATTTATTAGGATAAATCTAGTATTAGTACTAATGTTTTATACTTTTCTAGAATTTGGGTATTTCTTTTTTGGGGTCTTAGCCAAGCCAGCTAAAAGGGGGGGGATAAGATGATGGATTCCAGCATGCACGTGACTTTTGTTTTCCATTACCCCTTTTACCAATGGATTCTATGAAAATGGGGGAAAACGCTTCTCTCTTGAAAGAGATTCTTGTCCTTTTCTTTCCACTGTATTCTTTTTCCTTCTATTTGCCTTCTAAAATTTCCCTCTCATTTCTGGGAAAAGGAAATTCTTTGTCTTGTGTTTCCATTGAGCTGAATTTGAGCAAAAACACATGAAATTAAAGATTCCCATCAAATAATACTAATAAAAAGAAATATGGAAAAGTCTTTATATATATAATTTCTTTTATTTTCTTCCAAAAATTTTGAACTCTAATGTGAGGGAAAATAATATTTACTAATTTTCCAACTTAAAAATAATCATATCTTATCGTACATTCAAGTAAACTCTATCTATACTTTTCTAATTTTAATATTTTTTTTCAATTAATACTCTATGGATAAGCTATTTTGATTTATTTTAAGTGTGAATCAATAAATTAATTTTTAAATTTAAAATATTTTGATAATTTTATCAGATGAATTAACAGTATAACTCTTTATAAGAATAGAACTTATTCACAAAATATTAATCGAGAAAAGAAAAAACATGATGTTACGAGAGAAAAATTAAAACTAAAACGGACTTTAAGTGGACTTTATCCTCTATATTAAATGTAATAAAGATCAAAAAAAGAAAAATAAAAGATTAATAAGGCATTAATTTGTTGCATTCTTACTACCTACCATGGTTAAGACTCCAAAGTCCTGTCCTGCTCACCACCGAACCCTAACTAAAGCTTTTAACTTCTCAATAAACCTTTTAAATACTATTTTTTAATTTATTTTATTTGTCAAGTTTGTAAGAATAAAACATTATGTTATGTAATCCAATGAAATTTAGAGCATAGGAGACATTGGATTACAAGTATGCAAGAAGGCAATTCTTATCTCTTTTTTCTTCTATTAATTATACCTAATGCTTTAATGTTTTGCAATTCCCTCTTAATAATCTTCGAAAACTTTATATTTTCACTTGAAATAACCCAAAGAAATTAGAATGATTGGGCCGACAAAAGTCTTTTGAATTTAAGTTGGTGGTTGTTATGTGTTATATATACCACTCAACACCTTTGTCAATGGGTCCCTTCACTACATTGCCCCCATCTTTTGAAAAGTTCAAAACCCACATTTTGTATTCCCTATCTCACCCTTTGTCTTTCTCGATATTTTACGTAAACATACATACATACACATATATATATATATATATATATATATATAATTGATGTAAACCGAAACAAAATCAAAGAAATTAATGGGATCAAATTCTTGAACCTTAACTTTTTATTGGAATTAAGATAACAACGGTTAGATTAAATTGACGATTTTATGTGCACGTTATTTGTATTTATATGTATATTTATATATATATATATACATACATATACATACGTAATACTAACTGTTTTACCTCGGAATTATGTTTCATCACATTGAACATAAAAATATATATGATAATTGCCGACATACGAAGTTCATGGGTGCATGAACATGAGCAAGGGAAGGTTAATTGTCAATGTCAGCAAAAGAGGAGAATTTTTTTCCATCACAAAAATCCAGCCAGTTCAATATTTGTTCTTGTTCAATTCCTTCTACATATTAGAAACTGAATATGAATCTAGTATCTCAAAAATTTTTTAAAAAAAAAAAGAAAAAAAAAAACCCTAAGACCTAGTAGTTGAAGCATCAAAGGCTATGTGCCTGAATTATGCATTGCCTCTAGCATTCAATAATTCAGTATAATGTGTACCTTGCCATCTTATCCTCATGTTACATAATAAATAATTATTTATTATAATGTTAATTAGTGGTGATTATCTATATCGGCGGCGAACAAATAACAATATACCCAAAAAGATTAATAAAATAAATCAAAGATTAGTAAAGTAAATTAGGGATTGGTGTTGTTAAATAAACTTTTTATTTAAAATAATATATTGGACCTAATGATTGTTGGTCTCATACCAAGTAGTAACCTAAACTTTAACTACCCACTAAATGAAATTTAAAATTTGAAATAAAGTAAACATAGTCAAACATCATATCTATATGATAATTGATTTCCCTTGAAGATGCAATGCATTGGCAAAAGAATAAGAAAGTTATTGTTGTGGCTTTGGTGCAAAAAAGATTTGATTTAAGAGGTTTCACATCCAATTGAGAGAAGCACAAATGGGTTTGTTGTGTTGGTAGGGGGTTTTGAGGGTGCATGATTGAAGAGGCTCTCCATTGGGATTTATTGTTAATGTTTATTGTCCAACCCTAGTGAAAATGAAGTGTTGGGGTCCCATCCCCAAAGCAATCTAATCAAAAAGAGAAAGATCCATGGGTTTTGGTGTTGTGTGGAGTCTTTTCCTCAATCTACTATTTTGTTTTGGCCATACAAAAAAGGGGTAGAGAAAAATCAACTGAAACAAACAAATTCCCAATTTTTCTACAATTTTTTCTTCCTTTTAAAAGATGATTTATGCGTAATTATGTGGATATTAGAAGATAGGTTAGGAGATAGCATATTGACTAGGTGTCAATCTTTTTTCCTAAAATCTAAGTAAGAACTTATGGCTTGGCTCAAAATGATTAAGGGTAAGATTTTGATAAAAATCTTGGAAAGTTTGAATAGTAATGCTTTCCTCTTTGTGATTAAAAAGGGGTCAAAAGTTATATAATTCATGCCACCATTGTCATTAATAGGTGTGCAAGGTGTCAAGTAGCCATTACCTACTAGTTGTTAATAAGCAAATTGGTGGAAGTGGACCATCCGTAGCCACAATTTGTCTATAAAAGAAATGAAAGTGTTTGCCTGGATGATGTCAAAGAACCCAACCCAATCGCCAATTTGGATTTGGGCTAGTAATTGGATTTTTTAGAGGTTTGCATATATCTGCTGGAAAACTAGATGAATCCAACAGATTCATAATTTTCTTGGTTTCATCCGATGATTAGAATGGTAAAATCCAGGACAAGCATAGTGATATTTATGCTCAAACCTTAAGCACCAAAGAAGAGTAAGAAACATAAATGGTACTTATATGACATAAGCATCATTCTCCCACTAGAATTATTAAGTCCAAAGACTTTCAACATATTATCCTGCTAAAAAAATGGTTTCTTGACAGTAAATGATGCTTTCATTACTGGGAAACTTGGAGACCAGCAGAGTTTAGGTGTCATAGAACTAGACATTGATCACTTGGTCAGCTGAAAAGGATTCTGAAGTCTGTCATGAGACATCCTAACACAGGAGAAATCCCAGCCAAGAGTATCATACAACTGACAAGCATGAAATCAATCATTCTGACCAAGTGTTCTAGTTAGAGAGCAATAAAATCATAGGTTTTTATTAAATCAATTGACAAAAAAAAAAGATAAAAAACCCAAGAATCTGTAACATACAAAAAGAAACTAGGAAAAAGAAACTGCAAAAAATAGTACATCCCAGTTATCTACAGAATCAAATTTATAGTAATAGAGATGTTAATGCTGTTAAAAATGCTATTCCCACCAGTGAGGGGCCTGCAGAAGAAGAAGAAGAAGCAATCTGAATGATAAAATTGCAAGTCCTTTGTGAAAGGTTCTGTGTAGTAGCCGTGCCCAGACCTTGAAAATTACAGGCCATGTCATTGTGATTTTGCACCTGGTAGTACATATTAAAAGCGAGGAAGCATTTCCATTGGCATCAAGGTTGTTACAAAGAAGATCCATACCGAGTCGTGTGCAATCTGAGAAGGTGCAAGCATAGTTTATGTTGTCCGCAAGTTTGCTGAGGTCCTTTGCATTGGATTGAACATACACCATTTTTGAGGAAGATATTCAACATTTTGAGCACCGGTAAGAAACCTGTTTTGATTCTGGCCAGAAGAATCTAGTGGAATTTAGGCTGCCCATCATACCTGTAGATTCCCCAATGACGCTCAAAATTTCCTGGAGCAATGCTCTTGGCATCCTCATCTATGAGGCCAAACAGGTAAACTTCTATATAGCCAGGCCTCAGGGTGTGCCTGTGTTGGCTGCAAGTCTAGGCATAAGCCCATTATAAAATCTCTGAGCATTAGCCACATTGGCGTTCTTGTCTCCATCTGTAGGCCACCCCACCTCCCCGACAATAATGGTCGTGTCCCCATGCCCTACTGCTTCAGAGCTGAAACCAATGTGTCAAAGTTGGCATCGAAAACATTAGTATACTGAATCCCGTTATCGGTAATAGGGTTTCCTCCATCAAAGAAAGCATAATTAAAGGGGAAGTCGTCATTTCCATAGAGACTGAGGAAAGGGTAGATGTTTACAGTGAAAGGTGCACTGTTCTTGCTTAAAAAATCAACAATTTGCGTCATAATTCCACTGATATCAGACCGGAACCGGCCAGCAGATGGAACAGGGTTGCTATCTGGTGAGTTGTAGACATCAGCATTTAAGGGCACAGTAGCCTTTATGGAGTCT